GGTAGATGCAGGTGGATCTCTGTGAGTTACGGCCAGCCAAGGCTACACAGAGAAACCCTGTCTCAAAAAAACAAAAACAAGCAAACAAAAAAGAGGTCCAGAGTTAATTCCCAGCATGGCAGCTCACAACTCTGTAACTCAGGTTTCAGGGGATCCAACTACCTCATACAGATGTGCATGCAGGCAAACACCAAAGCACCTCATACAGATGTGCATGCAGGCAAACACCAATGCACCTCATACAGATGTGCATGCAGGCAAACACCAATGCACATAGGAGAGAAAAAATGTGCTCTAAACCAAGTTTACCCCAAGTATCGAGCCTTTGCGTCCCCATGTCACACTATGGGCAGTCTCCATCTCCATGCTCTGTGCTGAGACACCATACATGTGCAAATTGCTCCATACAAACGGCCTCTCTCCTGCCTACCAGCTCTCCCTTGTGCTGATGCAGGTAGTGTGGACAGAGCAAATCTAGCCCCTGCGACCTGGTTCCTTTGCCACAGTCATCTGAGAACTGAGACTATTCTGTGTGTGTGTGTGGGGGGTGGTCTTGAGTGTGCATGCTTACACACATGCAATACATGTGCCTTTTCACACTGATAACAAAAACCAGTGTTTTCTGACACGTGGAGAAAAATGGTTTTCTTTGTTCTGTGAATGGCCTCATAAGACAGAGCTGTAGCTAGGTCCATGCTTGTTACTTTTAGAGACCGTCCTGTGGTATTAGACAAAGAACATTTCTCATGCTGAAGATATGGACCTGCATCCCTGTTTGAGATCAGATGCAGGAAGAGGCCTAAGGATGTGGTCCTGCAGCCCATATCCAGGGAGTCCTGTCCCATTACTTGATACAAAGCTACGTAAGGGCCTATCTATTTTTTTAGGGTGAATGAGGGGTTGTGATATGCTGGTGAGACTTGGTTGTATGTAGCCCAGGCTCATCTCCAACTCATTGTGCGGTGGATCCTGCCTCTGACTCCCAAGTGCTGAGATAGGCACGTGTCCCCGTCCCCGTCCCCCCCCCCCCCCACTGAGGGCCTGCCGTTTTTAAGTCACAGCAGTCTTGTAGTAAAGGTGAATGCCGGTCTACCTGTGACAATCTTGAAGCAAGTGGGCCACGGTCAGGCCAGCATTTGAACCCATGCCTGACTGCATCAAGCGCCCTTTTGGAAAGTGTCATGCTGTGCCCATCATTCAGGTTCTCCTGTGTGTTGCCGATGTTGCCACAGTGCCTCAGCTCAGAGCTGCCACTGCCATGTGTGCTACTGGCTGTTGAGCTGCTCTCCCTTCTGGTGGACCATGACAGCCTTGCGCAGCAGCTGTGTTCCCACTCAGGTAAAGCAGGCCAGGCTGGGTCTCAGCTACCCTGTAATGGGAGGGAGGGATTGGCGCAGGGACAGGTTCAGGGCCTCTCGAGGGCTTCTGCACTTGGGACCCCAGGCTGCAGTGAAAGGGGGGGCTGCTGAGTAAGGCTGGGCATCCTTTCCAGAAGGCTGCCTTCTCCTGAGGCTGTACATGTACATTACGTCAAGGCCTGACAGAGTGGCCTCAGAGACACAGTGGCTTCAGCTGGAACAAGAGGTAAGGCGGGGAGACAGACTGCACCCTTCATCCCATTCCTAAGAGCCCAGGGTCTCCTTTCCTCCCCTGGGAAAATGGGAGCTACACTTAGTTTTGGTTAGCTTGTGGAAGGGCAACAGGTAAGATTTAGGGGTTCACACATGCAATACAAATGTACCCAGGATTACAATGGACTCAGCAGAGTTGCCTGATGATGCTGCCTGAGTTTGGGGGTCTGATCCTGGCCCCAGAAGTAGGTAAGCTGTTTATGAGATTCAGGTCTGAAAGCCTGAAACCACTCTACTCAGCCCCCACTTGTGTAAGCAAGCAGTTGGAGAAGTAGCTAGAGCTTAGAAATGCCTGTGAAAGCCCTGGTGACAAGTGTCCGCTCTGCAGGTGACGAACCATCTCTTCTCATTCCAGGTGGTATGGCTCTTGGCCAAGCTGAGTGTGCAGAGCCCTTCCCCACCAGGCATTGGTTCCGACTGCCAATGCAATGTAGAGGTTAGTGACCAGGGGCCAGCAGTGTGGTAGCTCAGTTGGGTAAGGGCAGTCCTGCTTCCCTGAAGTGGCTAGGCTGAGTAAGTCCCTAACCTCAGTCTGTGCCCTCTCTTACCCCAGGCAGTCAGAGTGCTCACCGTGATGTTGCACAGACAGTGGCTGACTGTGCGGCGGGCAGGGGGTCCAAGGACCCACCAGCAGAAGCAGACAATACGCTGTCTGCGGGACACTGTACTGCTGCTGCATAGCCTATCTCAGAAGGACAAGCTCTTTACTGTGCATTGTGTAGAGGTCCTGCATCAGTATGATCAGGTGATGCCAGGGGTCAGCATGCTGATTCGAGCCCTTCCTGATGTGACTGATTGCGAAGGTAAGTCAGCAAGAGGACCCTGCCCTGGCCTTTATGTGCCTAAGGCTCATGAAATGTCAGGTGCCCCCCCCCCCCCGCCCCCACCAGAGCCATTTCTGGCACTGTGGGAACACTACCTTCCCTGCGCTGGTTCTTTGAGTATGCTAGGTTGTCCTTTGATCGTGTCCATTGAATGGCCTAGCTGAGCCATGGTTTTTCCAGAAATATCTGTGGGAATTGCTTTTGTATCACTTTTGCTCACAGTAGCTGAGGGAGCAAAGCGTGGGCATGGAAGGGACTGGTTAGTTCCTGTGCTGCTGGGGAGGAGGGGTAGACCTCCGAGCCTCGGCACCGTCAGGGTTAACTCAGAACCCTCTTCCTTTTGGCTCAGAGGCAGCCCTGGATGACCTCTGTGCTGCGGAGACAGATTTGGACGACTCTGAAATGGACTGTAGCTGATGGCTTGAGCAGCCAGCCACAAGGTGGCGCCAGCTCCCACCACCATCTTTGCCATATCCACTGATTAAAACTGCAGTTCCTGCTGAGAACAACAGCTTTGCTTCCTGAGTCCAATTTGTGTGGCTGAGAGGGAGGGACAGAGCAGACTAGGAACTACCTTCCCCCCCTTCTGGAGTTGAGATGGTCCCCATGGTAACTAATCTGCCTTGAGGGAAAGCCCTGCCCCTCTTCGGGAATTACCCTGAGTCATAGCTTTGGGCTGGGGCCATGGGAAAAAATTTTGTGTGTAGCAGAGAAGGCAGCCCTTCCCTAGGAAGGCCTGGGAAAGTGGCCCAAGGAAAGTCATGGTAGAGACTTGCAGGCGTGTTTGAACCCTGGAGACAACCAGGTTAGGTGGGCTGTCAGTGTGGCTGCACCAGTCTTGTTTTATTAGCCAACAGGATCACAGCCATGGATCTAAGGCCTTTGGGGTACTTGGAGAGGAGGAGGGCTTTAGCACATGAGGGCCAGGCCTGGGATGGCTGGCTGGGCGGGCCTTGCTCAGAAGGCAGGCCCATGGGCGGACCCAGGCAGTTTCACTTCCAGAGCCACTGCTGCCAGCAGCAGAACCAACAGTGCCCTGCTGCCTGCTTCTCGGTAAGTGTGGGCCTTAAGGGTACGGGTAAGAAAAGAAAAGGTTTCCCTCGCCCTAAGGTTTCCCTCGCCCTGAGGGTGGTCACACTAGGGGAAGGGCTCCTGCCTCAAAGGGATAGTAGTGTGCCCAGCCTACTAGGAAAACAGGCCTGTCTTTAGCTGCTGCTCTGAAAACGGGCCTGGATAGAGCCTGACTGAGGGAAGGGCTGAGCTGTGCTTCTGCCCACACCTATGCCGTCCTGGCCCGCTGTAGACTCTGCTGGCACTCACCTACCCCGTGCTCCTCCCCAGGCTCAGCATGGGCTCACAGGCCCTGCCCCATGGCCCCATGCAGACCCTCATCTTCTTGGACCTGGAAGCCACTGGCCTGCCTTTCTCTCAGCCCAAGATCACAGAGCTGTGCCTGCTGGCTGTCCACAGATGTGCCCTGGAAAACTCCTCCATCTCTGCAGGACAGCCACCTCCAGTGCCCAAACCACCCCGTGTGGTGGACAAGCTCTCTCTATGCATTGCTCCGGGGAAAGCCTGTAGCCCTGCAGCCAGTGAGATCACAGGTCTGAACACAACTGAGCTGGAAGTAAATGGACGTCAGTGCTTCGACGACAACTTGGCCAGCCTGCTCCAAGCCTTCCTGCGGCGCCAACCACAGCCCTGCTGTCTTGTGGCACACAATGGTGACCGTTATGACTTTCCCCTGCTCCAGGCAGAGCTTGCTATGCTGAGCATTAGAAGTCCTCTAGATGATGCCTTCTGTGTAGATAGCATTGCTGCCCTAAAGGCCTTGGAACAACCTAGCAGCTCCTCAGAGCATGGTCCAAGGAAGAGCTACAGCCTGGGCAGCATCTACACCCGCCTGTATGGGCAAGCACCGACGGACTCTCACACCGCTGAAGGTGACGTTCTAGCCCTGCTCAGCATCTGTCAGTGGAAGCCACGGGCCCTCCTGCAGTGGGTGGATAAACACGCCCGGCTCTTTAGCACCGTCAAGCCCATGTATAATATTGCAGCCACTGCAGGAAGAACCAAGCCAAGGCCATATGCTGCCACAGCCACTACATCCCTGACCACAACCAACACAAGTCCCAGCCATGGCAGGAGCAGGCAACCCAAGAACCTTCCTCCAGCAAAGGCCCCGGAATCCCCATCACAGGAGCTGCTGGCCCCACTGAGCCTGCTGGCCTTCCTGTCCTTGGCGGTAGCCATGCTGTATGGACTCTTCTTGGCCTCACCTGGGCAGTAAACCAAGGAACGTCTGACTAATAAAGACCCCCACAGCACTGACTGATACTTGCTGCCTCTACTTCTTCACAGCCTGGGCCTCTGCCCATATTCAGGGCCCTGGGGATGAGGCACAGCCCTGCCCCTTGCTCTCTTAGCAGGATAATCAAACCTACCAGGCTAATAAAAGTAGGTGAAACCAAGTTCAAGAGATAGAAACAGTATTTGGTGTATAGCCAAGGCTAGCAGCCCAGGCTCTGAAGAAAGAGGAAGTAGGTCCAAATGTTTTCATTTATTATAAACAAAGGTGCAGAGCCTGGATGCTCAAAAACACACCAACAGACAAAGCTAGGACAGCTGGTGGGACAGCAACCAACAGGGAACATGGAGGTAGGGTTCCTGTCTGGGCCAGAGCTACCATCTAAGCCCCCACCCCTGCTTTGGTTCAGGTAGCCCCTTGGCCCTGGCATCTGTGCTGCCGGGACAAACTTGGTTGCTATAAAGGAGTCAGGTATTCTATGAGGCTGGTGTCAAGGGAAACAGATTATCAGAGGTCAGGTTACCCTCCAGGAACCAGGGATTTCAACCTCACACCAACTATCACACATCTGGAGACAGAAAATAGGCAAAATGTTTGGCTAAAAGTAAAACAAGACACTGCAAGGAGAAACAGGCGCGTGTGGGGGACAGAGGCCCCTTACCTAGTGGCAGGAGCCAGGCAGCAAAGGTAGAAAAGCTTTCTCACTGCAGTCTGAATGTTGAGTGCATGTGGACCTCTACATAGTCCTAGGAAAGACACTGGACAGTCCAGACAGCTGGTGGTGGGCAGATGGGGCTCTGCCTGGTGTGCTTTGACATCGGGACCTGACCCACGCACTGAGCTTCAGCCAGGCCCCTGGTTCTGCCCACCTACCTGCCTCACTGCAAGATGCAGCCAAGCCCTGGGGACAAGCCATGGCCCTGACCAGCAGCTAGCTGGTCACTCCCCAGAGCAGGACATGAATCCACAAAAAAGCTTACTCTCCTAAGTGTGACAGGCCATGTCTGGTCACCTTGGGGTGAACTGGGAAATGCCTCATACCCTAATGTTTCTAATTTACTTGAGATTTCAGAAAGTATAATTCAAGTGAGGAAGAAAACAGGTTGGTCCCAAGCCACACTGGTAAGTGTTGTGCCTGCCTGGTCAGCATCAGGAGTCACAGGGTTAGACAAGGCACATACACCACAGAGAGCAGTAAAGAATTGCATGCCACTCACTCACACATGACAGTCAAATGGCAGCCAGAGAGGTGGGGGCAGGCTCAGGGAGCTGCCTTTGGGGGGTCCATGTAGGCCGGATTGTATGGAGGCTGGCTGGCAGGGTAGGGTGCAGCTGAACCTCCTGAAAGTAAAGAGGGCATAGGTTAGCTGTGGGGACATTGGGCTGCAATGGTAGCAAGTTAGCAGGAAGGGACCCTCGGAACAGAGACATGAGTTGGGGACCATACAGGGTACCCACAGTGGTACTCACCAGCCAAGGTCTCGTGGTAGGCTGGTGGCCCCATGGGCTGGGCCAGGTAGGGTGGTGGGTACTGCGTTGGGTAGGGTGCTGCTGGCATTCCTGGCTGGGGGGGCATGGGGTGGTAGCCCTGGTATGTTGGTCCAGGGTAGCTGGGCGCCACACTTGGAGGCTGAGGGTAAGGGGTATGAACCACGGTGGTGGTTGTGGTGTTGGTCACAACAGCTGCAAAGAGAGTCGTGATTAGTCAAAACCTTATGACCCCCTCGGCCAGGAAAGGCAAGGCCCCTCCACCCCTCCAGCTTAGCCAAAACAGGCTCTTGGTCAGCAACCCTTGCCCTCTCTGGGCTTGGCATGTTCACACAGGGAGGGGCACAGGCGGGCAAGGTGGGGAAGGGCAAGCTTACGGCGTGGTCGGCGGCACATCTTATAGAGACAGCAGCAGGAGCAGGTAAAACATATGATGATGGTGGCGATGAACCCCACAAAGACGGTCAGGCCAATGGCGACAGTCGCTCCAAACCTGCCGAAGAGCTAGTCGTAACCAAGTTTTACTCCTTTTCCATGACCAGCAACCCTCTCTTCACCTTTCCCAGGGGCACTCAGCTCAGCAAGAGGCTCTAAGAAAATCCTCAGTAGTGTGACATAAATCTGTTTCAGCCCAGTTTCCTCATGCTTATCACCTCACACCTGCTCCCCGTATTTGCCTACCCATACACCTGTCCTCTCCTGCCAAACACACAGGGTATGGTTGTCAGGCCTATGCCACAAGCCAGGCAGGAAGGGATCGGAGTCAAAACGGGCTGCCAAGTGGTCAAGAACTACAGCTCCCTACAGGCTGTCGACATCCGGGGCTGCCCCGCGGTTCACTAGCACCGGTCCATCCCAGGGAGAATAAGTGCAGGCAGCAGTACTCTGGAAAACGCTGCCTCGCTGCCAAACCTGGGCACCCACAGAACAGAGGGTGTGTCCTTTGAGAGCAACAGCATAGGCTGGAAATCATTCCCATGACTCCCCAAAGCAGACAAAGCCCCCAATTATCCTCCCATGGCCCCTGAGCCCATGCTGTATTCTAATAAGAGACAAATGTTTGGCAACTATGACAGACACATTGAAAATGTAAACTCCAGAGCATCTGCCCCTCTGAGGTCAGACAGGAAGGATGTAGGTACCACCCCACCCTAAAATGAGGCTTCCAGCTCACAGCCCAGAGGAGCAGAGCAGCAAAGCCTCAGCAGGGCCTCTCGGCCAAGGGACAGACTTAGGGACAGGCCCCCCCACACTGCAGGCTTCCATAACAAGCCCTCACCACGTGTGGCCCAGGACCACGGAACTATAGGTGTCTCCCTGAGCAGTGAGAGGCAGGAAAGGACAAAAACACATTCATACAGTTGGATGCAGTGAAGGCCCAGGGTCTCATGGCCTCTCTATAGAATGCTCTGCTCACCCCATGTTAGCCTCCACCTTCACGCAAGGGGCTCCTGCAGCCCAGGACTTCCCCTCTTTTCATCAGGGCCTACCCAGTTTCAATCTCCTCCCCCTCTCAAAGAAAAGGAAATCGAATCTTCTTGTGAGTCTTTCCCATTCCTGACGTCAGTGGCCGGAAGGACAGACTCACAGGCCCTGTACCACCCACTTAAAGACACAGCATGACTCAAGCACCATCTGCAGCCTCAGCAGCCAGAAAGGCACGAGGAAGGAGGAAGGCTGGAAGGGGAAGCAGAGGCCCCAGGTCACTTTCCCAGCCCTGTATCCTGCCTGTAAACACCGCCCAGCCCAGCCCAGCCCCCCCCAACCCCCACACCCCCAGCTACTCTGCTTGCCTCTCCCACCCCTTGGGCCTGAGCCTGCAGTGGGCAAAGCAGGATCTGCGGGCTCTGGCTGGCACACGAGCAGCTGATCTCCATGTTCCTCCTCTCCCACTAACTGCTCCCAAGTTTGTACATGACCAGGCCAGGTCTGATCATGTTTCCCTGGTTCCAACGCCAAAGGCTCCCCCAGCCCCTGAAATCACAGGATATTATTTTATAATCATTAGTGACACGGTATGTACCTACCTTTCTGTGGGTGTGTGTAAGTATAGTTAACAACTAAAATCTAGCATTTGTCTAACCTTAAAACTTACAAAAAAGCCAATTTCAGCTGGGCGTTGGTGGTACACACCTTTAATCCCAGCACTCGGGAGGCAGAGGCAGGCGGATCTCTGTGAGTTTGAGACCAGTCTGGTCTATAAGAACTAGTTCCAGGACAGGCTCAAAAGCTAAACAGAGAAACCCTGTCTCAAAAAAACAAAACAAAACAAAAAGCCAACTTCAATCTTTTTTTTTTTTGGTTTTTCCAGACAGGGTTTCTCCGTGGCTTTGGAGGCTATCCTGGAACTCGCTCTGTAGAACAAGCTGGCCTCGAACTCACAGAGATCTGCCTGCCTATGCCTCCCGAGTGCTGGGGTTAAAGGCGTGCGCCACCACCGGCTCCAATTTCAATCTTTAATTAAAGATTCTAGCCAGGTGTGCTAGCACACAGGTAATACTTGAATTCAGGAGTCTGTTGAGGCAGGAGGATTATGACTTGTGGGCAAGCCTGAGCTATATCAAGAATCCTAGTTAGGCCTGGACTATATTGAGAAGCCCTGTCCCCCAAAAGCTTAACAAAAAAAATTAGATAAAACTCCTTTGCAGAACCCACCAAAGTCAAGTGGGGCGAAGACTCACCCTCCCTCTGTCTCTGCTCTGGCCAGCTCACCATGTACCAAGCTGTGTTCTCAGGGTCTTCCTGCCTGGTGGGCCCCTCTTCCCATAACCCTCATTCCCAGCTGAGAGTCCCTGTTCAATTCTCAGACCTCAGCTCGGGCCTCACTTCTGAGGGGATACATTCTTCAACCTGAAAACACCACGCTCCTCGGCTCCTATAGAATTAAAGTCCTGTCCACTCACGTGGCTTAGTGGGCCAGGTGTGGTGCCTGCCTGGCACAGACAGGTATAAAATATCTGAGTTTAAGGCTAGCCTGGTCTATGTCTGAGCTCCAGGCCAGACAGGGCTACATAGTGAGATCCTGTGTCAAAAAACAAGGAGAGACAGAGACAGAGACAGACAGAGACAGAGAGAGACAGAGAGAGCAGAGTGGACACATCATATACAGGGTGTGACACTCAGAGCTTGGCAGGAGTGTGCTCTTGCAGACCCCTGTTCTGACCTGAGACTCAGGTGAGAACCAAAGAGGATGGCCAAGGGTGGGAAACGAGGGCAGAGTTTACAGATCTCAGGCCCCAGCATCTTTCCTCTGGGGGCTTCTCTGGGGTCCCAAGCCATGGCCAGACAGCAGGGATTGAGCCCCTATCATGGAATCCACTCTGTGGACAAAGTACCCTCAGCCAGAGAGGCAGCACACAGGTGTCCAATGGAGTGTCTCCTAAGAAGGCTCCCAAGAGAAGTGTCACGACAGCCCTGTCCCTCAACCTCCTCTGCTGTGCACAATTCTGGGGCTCCGAAGAATAGGAGAAAAAGAAATCCCATCAACCCATTCCTCCTCTTAGTGCTCCCCCACCCCTACTTCTAGCCGCTACCACCAGGGTCAAAAAAGCCTTTCCGCATACTGTCAGCCCCTGCCAAGCATGCCATGCTGGTGTGGGGTGCCAGCCCTCCTCAGTGTAGCCCACAGTGCCTGGGACCAGCTGCCTTCTTGCCCTGAAGCCCGGTCCTCCACCCGGTCCTCCCCCTTGACTTCCCTGACACTGGTCCTCAGAAACTGCTGTCCCTTAGGTCCCATCCTCCACACACTCATTCTTCTCACCTAAAGCTTCAAGACAGGGCCCCTCCTCCCCAGTCTACCCAGCATCCCTACAGAGGCCTGCCCCTCTGTCTGCAGATTCTCTTCTCTTGCTCCTTGCTGGCAGGCAGCTGCTCAGCACCAACAGCCCTCCTCCCTCCTAACCTCCCAACACCCCTGGCCAGGAAGTCAGAGCCACTCCCAAGGGCTATGTTGACGCATGTGTTCTGTTCCTCAGAGACTTGCTTTAGGGCCTTCGATGGTGCTCATGCCTATAATTCCTGCAATCAGGAAGCTGAGTCAGGAGGATGACAAATTCCAAGCCAGCCCAAATGATATAGTTCCAGGCTAGCCTGGGCTACAGAGCAAGAAGCTGTTCCAAAACAAATAAACAAAAATGCAGGAGCTACAGCTCAGTTGACAGAGTGCTTGCCTGTGTAAGAGATAAATTATTCTGGCCCATTTTTAGGATGCTTTGTGCTTAGGGTGCAGGGGGGTGTGAGGCCTCACCCCAGGCTGGCAGCTGGCCTGCTAGTCTCAGAACTCTGAGACTTGGAAAGGTGCAAGCATTAGCTTTGTGACAAGTCCCAGATACTTACTAGATAAGGCTTTACATTCTGAACTGACAGGATAGGGAATCCCGGAAGGGGGATATGCTAGGGGAGCTGGAGACTACACCATACCAGTCATTTTAGCCTTTTCTCTCTGCAGAATCATATACTAGAAACTGTTTTACTACCGGGCGTTGGTGGCGCACGCCTTTAATCCCAGCACTCGGGAGGCAGAGGCAGGCGGATCTCTGTAAGTTCGAGACCAGCCTGGACTACCAAGCGAGTTCCAGGACAGCCTCCAAAGCCACAGAGAAACCCTGTCTCGAAAAACCAAAAATAAATAAATAAATAAATAAATAAATAAAGTAAGGGTCTTGTTTCTCATGTCTACCACGCAGGAGGCCCTGGGTGATGAACACCTGTAATTCAAGCACAGGGGAGGATCAGGAGTTCAAGGTCATCCTCAGCTACATACCAAGTTCATGGTTAGCTTGGACTATAAGAGACTTTGTCTCAGGAAGGAAGGGAGGAAGAAAATGAAGAAAGAAAGTTAGGGCAGGAGCCTGGCCAACAAGTTGAGGGCTAGGAGAGTGAGGGGCCTCTTCGAGTGTGGGGAGGAGAGTTCTGGTTGCACTCCTCCTTCATGGAGGGCTCCCCCTGATCCTGAGACCCAGGCGACAGCACAGTGACTATGACTGTCTCCACGAGCCTTCACGTAACGACTGAGGCACTTCTGCTGTCTCGGCACCTTGACTCAACCCTGTCACACCGTCAACATGGTCATTATCGTCCCACTGCCATCGGCCACCTGACTGCCACTGCCCCATTGCCTCACATCACCGAAGTCTCCACGAAATGCCACTTCCATCACCAGGTCAACACGGACCCCACACCTGAACCTTCAACCATCCGGTCCCAACCAGGTACCACCATCATCTCCCTCTCCAGAACACAGAGGAAACCCAGCTCCCTGGAGATCCAAAGGTCCCAGTGGTCACAACATCACTGGGAGACCATCCCAATGATTCTGTGCCATTTTTAGTATGCAGAGGCTACCCCCAAGGCCACCTGAGCCCTTGCCACTTCTGCCAGGAAAGGCTTTATTTACCCTGACACGGTGTCAGTGTCAAAACTGGATCGAAATCTCAGTGCGGAACCCAGCTGCTCCAGTGTCTCGGGGTGGGTGGAAAATCTGGTAACAGAAAAGAGAAAACGTCTGAGGAACACTCTGGATAGCCACAGCACACCGCCTCAAGGCACACACGACATTCCAAGAATGGACGGGGCACATACCCGGATCCGTTCACTCTTCTCCGACACACCAAAGGCAGTCTCCAGGGTACAGTGCCCATGAGGCCAGGAAACAGCATATCTCATACTTAAGATCTGCAACATACATGCCCCTAACCACAACAGGATGGAGACAGAAACTAAGAGCAGAGGGCTGCACTGCCACAAAGTTAAAAAATAAATGCAGGGACCCTGGTCTACAGAGCGAGTTCCAGGACAGCCTCCAAAACAATGCAGAGAAACCCTGTCTCGAAAAAACCAAAAATAAAAAATAAAAAAATAAAAAAATAAATGCAGGGGAAAAAAGACCACCACCAACTCTTTCCATTGTAGACTGAGGCAGGAGGATCACAAGATTGAAGCCAGCCTGGATTGCATGACAAGATGTTTTCTGAGGAGGAAGAAAAGGAAGGGAGGAAATGGGAGAAAGGAGGGGAGGAAAGAGAGGTAAGCAGACACACAGAGAAGTGTTATACAGAACGGAATGAAAATACTATAGGTCAAAATTCACAGGACCATGGTGTCAAGTACCTGCAAGCCCCGTGATCAGGAAGCAGACAGGAGAATCAGGAGTTAGGGTTAGCCTGTGCTGCAGGAGACCCCATCCCAAACAAAACAGACCATAGTCATGAAACAGCTAAACCAGTTCGTAGACGGAAATGAACTTCGTTACTACAATATATCAAGGACAAAAAATAAGTGAGCCACAGCTGGGTATGGTGACGCATAATCCCAGCACCCCAGAGGCTGAGGCAGAGGGCTGTCTAAAATTCAAACTCCTTTTAGGCTACAGACTATGACCCTGTTGGGGGGGAGGGGAGCAAGCTAAGCAAAGTAATACAAGCTTAGAATCCTAGCACACAGAGGAGAGAAAATCAGAATTCAAGACTATCCTTGGCTACTTAGCAAGTTCAAAGACAGCCTGAACTAGGCTATAGCAGACCATTTCAAAAATCAAAAACAAAACAAACAAAAATCTACAAATGCACACACACACACACACACACACACACACACACACTGATATACGCGGGAGGCCTGCCCTTTTCTGAAGAGAAAGGAAGAGGGGGTGGGGGGGGAGGGGATGTTGTGTGAAGAAAATAATTGGGCTGGAAAAAAATAATCACTAAAAATCAAAACACAGAAATAAGCACATAATATATAATTAAAAACCTGTGTAAAATTCTTTTTTATAAATGATTTATTTGTCCTATGTGCATTGGTGTTTTGCTTACATACAGGTCTGTGTGAGGGTATTGGATTCCTTGGAACTAGAGTGACAGACAGTTGTGAGCTGCCAGGTGGGTGCTGGGAATTGAACAGGAAACGGTACTCTTAACCACTAAGCCATCTCTCCAGTCCCAAGATTGATTTTGTTTAAGATTTATTTATTATGTATATAGCACTCTGCCAGCATGTGTCCCTGCAGGTCATAAGGCACCAACTCTCACAGATGGTTGTGAGCCACCACGTGATAGCTGGGAATTGAACCTGGGTCCTCTGGAAGAGCAGTCAGTGCTCTTAACCACTGAGCCATCTCTCCAGCCTCCCAAAATTAATTCAAGAAAAAAAAGAATAAGAGGCAGGCGGATCTCTGTGAGTTCCAGGACAAGCTCCAAAACAATACAGAGAAACCCTGTCTTGAAAAAACAAAAGAAAGAATAAAGAAAGAGAAGACAGGTTTTATTCTATAGCCTAGAATGGCCTTGAACTCCAAATCATCCTCAGGCTCCCTGTGTAGGCGTGCACCTGTACCCCTGACTTCTCTCTCTTTTTTTTTTTTTTTTGGTTTTTCGAGGCAGGGTTTCTCTGTATTGTTTTGGAGGCTGTCCTGGAACTCACTTTGTAGACCAGGCTGGCCTCGAACTCACAGAGATCCGCCTGCCTCTGTCTCCTGAGTGCTGGGATTAAAGGCGTGCGCCACCAACGCCTGGCCCCCTGACTTCTCTTGAGTTTTGCTGTTTTCTTCCAGTGCCATGTTTGTGTAGTGCCTGCGGAGGCCAGAAGGGGGCACTGGCCCTCTAGGACTGGAGTTACAGACAGTTGAATTTCCATATGAGTACTGAAAATTGAACCCAGGTCCTCTGGAAGAGCAGCCAATGCCCTTAACTACCGAGTCATCTCTCCAGCCCACTTCCTTTCTTTTAAAGCAGAACAAATGAAATTTATTAAGGGATCCAGGAGGTGGTGGTGCACGCCTTTAATCCCAGCACCCAGGAGGCAGAGGCAGGCAGATCTCTGTGAGTTCGAGGCCAGCCTGGTCTACAGAGAAAGTTCCAGGACAGCCAGGGATACACAGAGAAACCCTGTCTCAAAAAAACAAAAAAAAAAGAACAAAAAATGTCCACAGAGCCATAAGCATGAAGCTAGCAGACACTGATACCAAATGACAAGACACACTGTGGGGAGGGTTGTTTTTTAAAATGTATTTATTATGTAGTGTTCTGCATGCATCTATGCCTACAGACCAGAAGAGGGCACCATTACAGATGGTTGTGAGCCACCATGTGTGGTTGCTGGACCTCTGAAAGTGCTCTTAAACCTCATCTCTCCAGTCCAACAAAACACACTGTTTAAAGAATACACAGGGGCCAGTGAGATATCTGTAGAGGCCACACAGAGAAACCCTCTCTCAGAAATCTAAAAAAGAATAAGCAATAAACACTGGGACTAGCAGAGCCGCGGATGGGCCAAGGAGATGGCTCAGATAGCAAAGACACTTGCTGACAGTTAACGCACGCACGTACCAAAAGTAGTAAGTAAAATGTAATAAAAAGAATTAACTGAAATTACCAGGAAGAACTTAGAGAGATTAAAGACTGAGCAACTTTAAGTACCCTAGAAAGACAGTTGAAGAGATTTCTAAGCAATTGTGAGAACACCGTGACTCCCCTGACTGTGTATGGGAGATGTAAGAGAGAACAGAATCAAAGATGGGTCACAGAGGAAGAAATCAAAACTTCAAGAAAAAATGAAGGCGGGGAGTGTAGCTCAGTGGTTCTGTTATCTTAGCTCAGAGGTTTGATCGCCAGCAGAATGAATGAATAAATAAATAAATATAAAAAAAGACGTGGAAAATTCTCAGCCTATTTATATTGCAGGCAAGAAAACTGCAGTCCCAAACCCACCTGATACGGAGATTAGAACGGGTGTACACCAGGTTAGCCCAGCAGAAATGCAGCAACTGAAAGAGGCAGCGACAAGAATCTGAAGGGATTCTGCAGGACTCAGCTCCCACAGGACCTGACCATAGTGCTACGCCATTGTTCACCACTCTCCAAGACAAAGAAAAGACCTCAGACAATCTGGGTCCTGTGGAAGCTGCATGGCCATCCCAGTTAGCTCCGACTGGGTTCTCTGTACTGTTTTGGAGACTGTCCTGGAACTCGCTTGGTAGACCAAGCTAGTCTCGAACTCACAGAGATCCGCCTGCCTCTGCCTCCTGAGTGCTGGGACTAAAGGCGTGCGCCACCACACAGCTTATTTTACATTTAGTATGCACACACATGCAATCAGAGGTCAAGTCTTTCCTTTCACAATGTGGGTCCCAGGGATTGAACTCAGGTTGTCAGGCTTGGTGGCAAGCACCTTTACCCACTGAATCATGTCAACAGCCCCATATAAAATATTACTTTAGGAGCTGGACCAATGGCTTAGCAGGTTAGAGCACTGGCTGCTCTAACAGAGGATCTGGGTTCAGTTCCCATCACCCGCATGGCAGCTCACAGCTGTCTGTAACTCCAGTTCCAGGGGGTCCAATGATGCCTTCTCCTGACTTCCACAAACACCGGGTGTGCAGGTGGCAGACATATATGCAGGCAAAACACCCACACAGAAAAAACAAAAAAGAGATACATGCTACTTACCATATTAATAGAATAAAAACAGAAAGCTCGGGACCATCTCTGAAAACAGCAGGAGAGCATCTCGAAAAATTCAAACCCCTCCATCATTAAAACTTCAGGGAAAAAGCCGGGCGTTGGTGGCGCACGCCTTTAATCCCAGCACTCGGGAGGCAGAGGCAGGCGGATCTCTGTAAGTTCGAGACCAGCCTGGACTACCAAGCGAGTTCCAGGATAGCCTCCAAAGCCACAGAGAAACCCTGTCTCAAAAAACCAAAAAAAAAAAAAAAAAAAAAAAAAACTTCAGGGAAAGTAGGACTAATAAGGAACTTCCTCCACATAAAAGAGGACACCTCCAAAAAGGCAGCATTTTACTTCTAAAATTGGAAATAAAACATGGGTGTAAGGCTGGGGGGATGGCTAGGCACTTATGAGCACCAGCTCCTCATGCAGAGGATGGAATTCTGTTCCTAACACCCACATGGCAGCTTGTAACTACCTGTGACTTCATTTCCAGAGGACGTGACACCCTCTTCTGGCCTCTGAGGGTACTGCATACACACGGTATACACACATACATACATACACACACACACACAGAGGCAAACACAAATACACATAAAAGTAAAAAAAATTTAAAAACATGGGTACCTACATCGCATCAATGCAATAGGCAAGAAAAAAATAAAGTAATAAAGTTGTAAAGGAAGTAAAATAAAGAGAATAAAACCAAACCAAAATAATATAAGAAATTTAAAATTTGAAAGTAAAAAACAAGAGACTAACAGAAAGCTAAACAAAATGTCAAATATAATTTTATAATATTACATTACATTTGATGGCCATTTTTGAGGTGCTAATGTGCGTTTATTTGGAACTAAATGGCTATGGGACCGGACAGGATAGAAACTTCCGTCTACACAGAACCCAGGGCTCAGTGCACTACTGAGCTACATTCTACGTGATCTATGACATCTAAATGGAATAAATGCACCTGACTTTTAAAAAAAAATAGTATAAGCTAGGTTTAATGCATGCACCCATAACATCAACTATTTAGTAATCTGAGATGGGGAGGTTGTTTGAAACCAATCTGGGCAACATAGCAAGATCTTGTATCAAGAAAAAAATGTGGCCGGGCAGTGGTGGCTCACACCTTTAATCCCAGCACTCGGGAGGCAGAGGCAGGCGGATCTCTGTGAGTTCGAGGCCGGGCTGGACCGACAGCCTCCAAAACAATACAGAGAAACCCTGTCTCGTAAAAACCAAAAAAAAAAAAAATGTGGGCTGGAGAGATGGCTCAGCAGTTAAGAGCACTGACTGTTCTTCCAAAGGTCCTGAGTTCAATTCCCAGCAACCACATGGTGGCTCACAACCACCTTGAATGAGCTCTGATGCCCTCTTCTGGCATGCAGGCAGAAGATTGTATACATAATAAATAAATAAAATATTTTTTTATTTTTTATTTTTTGTTTTTTTTCGAGACAGGGTTTCTCTGTAGCTTTGGAGGCTGTCCTGGAACTCACTTTGTAGAGCAGGCTGGCCTCGAACTCACAGAGATCCACCTGCCTCTGCCTCCCGAGTGCTGGGATTAAAGGCGTGTGCCACCAATGCCCAGCAATAAAATAATTTTTAAAAAAAGAAAAAATGTAAAAAAAGGGTAAGAGCCCTGGCTGCTCTCGCAGAGGAACCGGGTTTGATTCTCAGCACCCACGAGGTGGCTCACGATGTGGACTCTGGTCCCGGGGACTCTGGGTTGGAGGCACTACACGCACATGATGCACAGAAATCACACGGGCAAAACACCCACACACACAAGACTTCTTCAACATCCAGACATGAGGTGGAGGTAGAGTTAGGGTGTAGGGTGCTTGCCTAGCATGCACAAGGTCCTGGGTTCAACCCTCGGCCCTGCATAACACCAGGTGCATTAGTGCACACCTATAATTCTAGCACTTGGGAGGCAGAAACAAAAGAATCACAAGTTCTTGGCTACATACAGCATTCAAAACCAGCTTGGGCTGTATGCAACCCTATCTTAAAATAAGTTTTTAGCCGGGCGTTGGTGGCGCACGAAACCCTGTGTCGTAAAAACCAAAAAAAAAATAATAATAATAAGTTTTTAAGTCAGGCATTGTTGTTGCACACCTTTAATCTCAGCATTGGAGGGAACATGCAGAAACAGGTGGATCTCTGAGTTCGAGGCCAGCCTGGTCTACAGAGAGAATTCCAGGGCAGCCAGAATTACACAAAGAAACCCTGTCTCTAAACAATAACAACAAAAGTTTTTTTTAAGTAATAAAATTGGGGGGCTGGTGAGATGGCTCAGCAGTTAAAAGCACTGACTGTTCTTCCAGAGGTCCTGAGTTCAATTCCCGGCAACCACATAGTGGCTCACAACCACCTTGAATGAGATCTCGTGCCCTCCGCTGGCATGCAGGCAGAAGACCGTATACACAATAAATAAATAAAATATTAAAGAAATAAAATTGGGGTGGAGAGATGGCTCAGCAGCTAAGAGCACTGACCTGGGTTCAATCCCCAGCACCCACATGGCAGCTCAACAACTGTCTGTAGCTCCAGTTCCAGGGACCCAACACCCTCACACAGACATACATGCAGGCAAAACAACAATGAATATAAAATAAAAATAAGTTTTTAAAGAAAATAAAAAAATAAAAATTAACATAATGAAAAAAATTAAATACAATATCTCAAAGTCAAGTGTGGTGACACACACCTTTAAATCCAGCACTCAAATGAAGCTTTCATAATTAATAAGTCTCAGTGTCATTAATGGGGGTTGGCTGTCCCAAAGAAAGCCCGACAAAAAAGACCTACTACAGACAACTGCCTTATTAACACTGTGTTAGCTCAAAGAGTGAGGGCATTCATTGGAACATCTCTCAAAGTGCCCACAAAACAATACCGGCTTTTTAGGAATACAAACAAAAGAATATACCTCAAACACAGTAGACTAGGATGCTCGTGGGATGGGTGGGGAACAGAATGCCATCAGAGACTAAAGTGAACACAGATGGTGTGGTCTGGCCTTGTGCAAAACAATGATGACAACGTGCTATGAACTAAGTGTGACCTCTAAAATTATAAATCTGTGGCCAAGCACATCTTGGTCCTCACCAGTGACAACCGTCTAATATCAAAGATGGCATACAAACAGGTAAGCTCTGCCTGGAGGACGCAGCCCAGCTCACTCTGGGCACACATCCACGCCCTGTGCCTTGCATAGCACAGGTAACCACAGCGCAGACACAGTGTGGGGGCACTCTCACTCTCATAGCCAGGTGCCCACCCTGAGGACCTGTGGTCAGAGTACACGCCTAGAGCCAAAGCCAGCTGAGGCCACTGGGCCCAGTCCAAGGCTTGAGGACAGGGCGGTGAGGCAGAGTGGAGTAGCTCTAGGTAGCTCTCGAACAGGGCTCCTCACACACCGGCTCAGTGCCAGAGGGGCGGGGCACTCTCCAGGGGATGGATGCCTTCCCGCGTCCTCTGCTCCCCTCCTGGCACCCACCTGGCCTCTGGCTCAGTGCACAAATTCTCATCCCACCGGACTTTCTTCAGCACATCAGAGCAGCAATACTGGCTGGAACAGGAACCGCAGCAGAAATCAGGGCAGGACGCTGGGATCAGGTTGTCTTCGCCAGCAGGCCTGCACAGCTCACCCTGGGCTGAAGCAGAAACACTGTCCCCCTGTGTCCCGTAGCCCAGGTCCCATCCGTACCCCGCCAATGACGGTGACCACCCCTCCTACCAAGCCTCTGCTCTCTCCTCGAGGCCACGGCAAGGTGCTCTAAAAGATGCCCACCATCCCTTGGCCGCCTGTTGGTTTCCTGGTAGAAGGCTGACTTTTCTACTCATGAGTCTGACTGGGCTACTTGCTGCTCTCAGAATTCCCTACTTTCAGATCAAGACCTCAAGACTGCAAAGGCCTGAGGTGATAACCGTTCCCACCTCAACACACACCGTCCCTGCCTGTCTCCCACCTGCGACTCCACGCCTCCTTCAAGGTCTTACTCCAGGCCTCCTCCCAGAAGCTGCCAAACCTTTAAGCTGTGCAGCTGAAGAGAACACACCTAGCACCTGCAGGCACAGGGCTGCCCAATATTTATTCCTCATGACCTCCATAGCAGCCTCACCTGCTGGGCACAAATGAGGGGCGAGGCCTAAGCCTCATAGAACACCCCCCCAACAGCAGGCTGAACCCTAACCAATGCACAATGACATCCCCACATAAGCATCCGTAAAGCACTTGTCCCTAGGCTAGGCATACAGCAGGCATTAGAAAAGTCTTGATCTCTCAGTAGCATCCGGGAACCATCACAAATCTCAACAAACAAGGTAATGTTGAGAGGTGTGGAGAAGGGCAAAGGGCTTTGGCTACCCACAAGCTTTACCTGTGTGTCCTTAGGCTACACTAGCAAACCTGGAGCCCCCCCCCCCATGAAACACCCAGAGCATCAAGGCTCATCAGACAACTTCTGCGGACAATTGCTTAAGTGTCAGCCTAGATGCAGCCCTGGTCCAGCCAGATCAGTAACTGAGCATGCTCCCTGGGGCTGGCAGAATGAGACTCTAAGAAAAGATAACTTGGAGGGTAAGGAGGGCTTCATTTTTGTTGTTTTGTTCTGGTAGCACCAAGCAGAACCTTGCTCTGGGCAAAAATGTAGAATGGGTATTTCTGACCATTGCAGGCCACCTGCAAGTGAGTTCAGTTACAGCCACCAGCCAGGCCGTGCCTCTGAGCCAGGAGCAACAGCTTACACCACTGGGACTTTCCCTTTTGCTTTTAGGGCAGGGTCTTGCTATGTAGCCCTGGCTGGCCTCAAACTCACAGGGCTCCTCCTGCCTCTGCCTCTGGAGTGTTGAGACTAAATACAAGTATCTTCTGATGCCCACACCAGTGGGTCTTTCAGGCTGGGTCCCAGGTACAAATGCTATTCAGAACTCCAGACACAGAGCACGGCTCTCTAGACTGGAGACCCATAGGCTCACTCCAGGGGTAGGCTGGTCCTCCCATGTCAGCCTTCAGGAAACACAGCCCCTTTCCTCCAGGAAGCCACCCATCCCAGCAGTCATTAGCTTCCCCTGACTGGGCAGAGAGTTGTTCCAATTCCCATCACAATAGGCCCCCAGCCTACCCTCCTAAGCTTGTGAGTCATTCCTCTGGGATGGCAAGGGAAAGCGGTGTCTCCTCCCCAGGAGAGGCCAGCCTCAGGGCCCAGCTTCTCCAGAACACTAGGGCTGCAGAGGCAGTGGATGGAGGGCTGCCAGCCAGGAAGCAAGCTGCTAGGCACAACCTCTGCAGGAGGGGCCAGGCAGCCCCGAGGCCCCACCTGGAGCTAACCCTAGGCGTGGAATCCTGCTCCAGCCCCTGGAACATGTAGGGCCTCTCCACCATGAAGAACACAACAAAGGTGGCAGTTTTCCGGGACAGTGCCAGTTCAGGAAGGAAGGGGTGACGGGATGAAGTCAGTGGTGGGGTTCGCAGACGCCCCCTGGGTTATCAGGGGGTCAAGTCGCAGCACTCCGGGGCTGGCACTGTCTGGCTCGTTCCATAGACAGCTAGGGGAAGTGTCTGACCCTACCCGGTCCCTGGGCAGCTCACACCGCCCCCTCCTCCCAGGCTCACCACCCGGAGGCGGCGGCAGCACCAGCAGCAGCAACAACAGGGTCCGCGGAGAGGCCACCGGCACAGCCATGGCGAGACAGACAGACGGACGAGCAGACGGACCAGGCACAGGGCCGCGATGCCGCCGCAACCTCAGCGACCCGCGCGGCCCCAGCCTCCTTGCCCCGCCCCGGCCGGTTCCCGGAACCCCCGCCCCAGAGGGGAGGAGGTGAGGGAGAGGGAAGAGGTGGGAGGGAAGGGAAGAGGTGGGAGGGGAGAGGTGGGAGGGAAGCGGAGCGGCCGCCCCTCCCAGCCTGGCCGCTGCTCTCACGACCCCGTCGGTGAAAACTTGAGACAGGTTTCCCAGACGCAGAAGGAGGGGTCGGTACACCCAAATGGCTTTGTGCTCACGGGACACTTTTGTGGGGAGACCCCCTTGCAGTTGACTTAGGGGCGGGGAGAGGATCTCCGTGGCAACGTTATCCCAACACTTGAGCGCCAACTGTGTGCGGCTGGCACTTGGGTCCCAACTTTGCCCTCAGGGAAGCTGCGATTTTCTCCTGCCTCAATGGACCCTCGCGCAGGTCCACCTGGGGACCATACGGAGTGATGCGGGGGACAGTACTCAACACATTCAAGTTCCTTCTAACAGATTTCCAGGACCTCCATCCCACAGTGACCCAGACTCCCAGCTCAGGCAGCTGCTCACTCGCCCAGGGGGCCTATCCTGAGGGTAAGAACTAATAGCTCCCAGGGCACATACGGGGCTCCTCCTGACAAAATTCTGACAGGCTGCCTCTTCCCCTCAGTGTGGGGCAAAGTTCCTAGCACGGCCAGGAAAGTGGGGTATGGTGTTCTTGGACTGCCTAGCACGTGGAACGGCTAGGGTTGTCTACTCAAGGCTGAGCCCATGAAACCCCGCTAGCGGATCGCTTGAGTCAGTACGGTGTCTTTGCTGTGCTGTCACACATTTCTCATCTGTGTGCTGTAGACAAAGACGAAGCCCTAAAGAGAGTCTGGGAGTCTCCAGCAGCTCTCCAGCCTCTAGGGTTAGAGGGAGCCAGGAAAAGAAGCAACACACACCAATACAAGTCCAGAAGGAGAAACTAGTTCCTTCTGGTCAAGAAGATGAAATCCTAGACTATGAAAAACGTAAAAGAGTTAACCCGGCCAGCCTGGCCACAGGATTACCCTGTTAACAAGGTAGGGCCACCCCTAGGAAGACAGGCTCACCTAAGCTGTGCTCAAGGATAGCCGGACTAAATATCCCTTTAAGGAGATACTATACGTTTCCTTCCCAGAATTCCTGAACACCATGCACAGTTCCTACAAGCTGCCATGAGCTTCTGTCAAGTCTGCCTTTCTCTTTCCCCTTGTTTGGTCCTTTGGATGCCTGTCAGATCACAAGTGTGCTTTTGCTGATACTTTGAGTTTCTTCTAAAACTCCATTCTCTCCTATATGACATGTAGTCATCTGTCCTCCACCCCCATGCTGGTTTAACTCAAAGGGAACGGTGTTTTTTTTCCTTCTCTTCATTCCTTTTCTTCAGATGCAGAAGAGGTTTTGTTTTGTTTGTTTTTGATAAGGGTCTCACTATGTAGACCTGTCTGGCCTCAAGTTCACAGAGATCCGCCTGCCTCTGCCTCCCCAGTGCTGGGAATAAAGGTGTGTGCCACCATCACCCCGCCAGGTTTTGCTTTTAAGCTATAATAATGTTGTCCTCTTTGGATTAATTTGGGCTTTGCTTGACTTTCCAACCTTTCCTGCCTTTTAATTCTTTTTTAATTTATTTATTTTTATCTTATATGCATTGGTGTTTTGCCATACACGTCGGGTCCCCTGGAACTGGAATTGCAGACAGGTGTGAGCTGCCATGTGGGAGCTGGGAATTGAACCTGGGTCATCTGGAAGAGCAGCCAGTGTTCTTAACCATTGAGTCATCTCTCCAGTCCACCTTTTCATTCTTAAATTGGCAGAGAAAGTGGACCCCTTCCTGCATGCCCGGATGGCATCACCAACTCAATTAGGATAACTGTTCCGGGGCTGGAGGTGACGCAGCAGTTAAAAACAGTAGTAGCTCTCGTGGAGGAGCTGAGTTGGTTCCCAGCACCCACATGGTGGCTCGCGAACATCTGTAGCTCCAGCATCAGAGGATCCCATGCCCTCTTCTGACCTCTGTGGTCATCAGGCACACTATGTGTGGAGGCAAACACTTATGCATATAGATTTTTCAAATGTACAATTTGTAACTTCAAACTGCGCTTGGGCCTGGCAAGCCAGAACAATACCCAGTGAGGCTCAGAAGGCCTGACAGGATGGGCGTGGCTGGGTGTGGTGAGTGCTAGTACAGCTAGCTCCAGGGGCCTTGTTCTTCTCACCCAGCCCCTGGGCCCCTCTCACTCATTTTGGATGGTGGTCAGGCAAACTCCCCTGCCTCAGCATCCATTGCCCCCAGAGCAAAGGGCTTTTGCTGCAGGTCCAGCCAGTGAGCTGTACCCTCGGACACATCAGTATGACAGGAGGGCAGTATGGGGCAGTTAGTCAGAAATCAATAGACTTGCAGGTCCTCAAGGCTAGGCCCCTCTTCACTCATCTTTGGACCCCACCTTCTGTGTCCCAGGTAAGCTTGAAGAAAGAGGACATATCCCATTTGCTTCTTAGAATCTGAAGCTCCAGTGGCTAACCAGGGTGTATGCTCCCTCACACAAGGCTCTGTTGATAACACCCTTCCGTGCCCAGGCCTCCCATGTTAAGGAGAAAAATCCTGTTTCACAACCTCATGGGAACTGCCAGAAGATGGAAAGAAATGTGATACACCTGAAGCCATATTCAAAGGCTCAGTAAAGTCCTGGGTAAAGACACCTGCAGCCACCTGCTCAGTCCCCAGCACGCGACGGAGTCAAGAAAAATGCTAAAGACAGGAGGAACAACTGTCCCCTTAGGGAGTTGCTTCTTACCCCCAAAGCCCGTTCCTCCACATGGTGTTTACGGTGCTGTCTTTAAGCCCACCGTCTGGCTTCTCTTTCCTCTATGTCCCCTTCTTAGATTCCAGCTACATGCTAAGCCTGCTCGCCCTGACACCTGACATTCTACCCTTTCTCTTTGGGGACCCCACACGCCCCGACTGCTCCAACACTGCCCCTCCTTAGCCTACCTGCTTCCTGCACTCAAAAGAGCATAGTGTGGCGTTCTCCTCATGCCCATTTCCCTCCTCTGGCAGCTGCTGAGATCCTCCACACAAATTTAAAAAAAGTCTTCTAGTTCCCTTCCCAGTCTTTTTTTTTTTTTTTAATCTAGGCGGCCAGGGGCTAGAGAGATGGCTCAGTGGTTAAGAGCACTGGCTGCCAGGTGTTGGTGGTGCACACCTTTAATCCCAGCACTCGGGAGGCAGAGGCAGGCGGATCTCTGTGAGTTCGAGGCCAGCCTGGTCTGCAGAGTGAGTTCCAGGACAGCCTCCAAAGCCACAGAGAAACCCTGTCTCGAAAAACCAAAAAAAAAAAAAAAAAAAAAAAAAAAAAGAAAGAAAGAAAGAAAGATAGAGCATGTGACCAGTTTTTATGGTTAGACTAAAATTATTCACTACAGTCAGAAAAGATTTGTTCTATGCGACCATGTTGGGAATAGGATCAAATAAAGAAGTCCAGGGGCCACCACCCCCAAGTCCATCTTCAGAGTACCAACAAGAGGCTTGGGTTAAACAGACGGCAACAGGAGTGGGGATCAGCCCAAGTTGTTGTCCCCACCCAAGTCTGTCTTCCCACAGGCTGTGACAAGTTGTCAGAAGGAACTGAGAGAAATCTCTTCCCCTGGCCAGGACCAGGCTTCACTCAACTCTGCATTAGATTAGGAAACTGCAGGTATTTGGGGTCCATTGTCTCAGTAGTTTGATAAGCAGATGGGAGGGACACAAGGGTCACTTTAGAATAGCTTTCTTCCTGCCAATGCCAGGAGGGAGTGGAGGAAGGGAGGGAGGGAGGGAGAGAGGGAAGGGAAGATGGGATTCACAAAAGAGCCACTCTCTTTTTTTTTTTTTGTTTTTTTGTTTTTTTTTTTTTTCCGAGACAGGGTTTCTCTGTGGCTTTGGAAGCTGTCCTGGAACTTGTTTGGTAGTCCAGGCTGGTCTTGAACTCACAGAGATCCGCCTGCCTCTGCCTCCCGAGTGCTGGGATTAAAGGCGTGTGCCACCAACGCCCTGCTGCCACTCTCTTTCTGAATCACACCCTTTAGTAAGCCTAAGTTCCTGGGTCCTGTCAATCACTCAAATGCATCACAGAACCTGTGGAGGGGATGTGGGGACCCAAGATTTATAGCCAGGAACTCTTCAGTATGACTGATTTTCCCCTTGAAACCAGAACTGGGAACAGTTTGGGGGACCAAGTCTTTGACTTCTGGGGCCTGAGTAAGGACTGAATTGCTAGGTACACAGATGGTGTTAGATTTAGGGTACTGGCTACTAAGTCGCAACCCTCTCTTGGCACAATCTTCCAAGGGCTGGCTGAAAGGTCTGGATGTGGTGTCGGGTGATGGTTTCTCAGTGGACCCACAGCTTAAAGAAAGAACAAAGTCAAGGCACAAAATGAACCGTGCTCCCCCCTCGGCAAGATTCCGATTTCTGTGAGAGCACAGGCTGCTCTTCCCAGCACTCAGATCAAGCAGCTCACAACTGCTGCGACGCCAGTGTCAGGGGATCCAATGATCTCTAGCCTTCAGAGGCACCATGCAGGCGCACAGTACACATACCTACACATGAAGGCACTGCTCTACACATAGAAATACATCACTCTCTCAAAAATTCTTATTATTTTTTAATTATGTACACAGTGTGTATGCCACTTGTGCACAGGGGAGCTGGATTTACAAGCAATTGTGAAACATTATGTATGCTGGGAATTGAACTTGAGTCCTCTGCAAGAATAGCATGTGCTCTTAATCACTCCAGCCCCTCAGTAATTATTTCAAAACGATAACACCTCTGGCTGCAACTCACCCAGACATTAATGAGGTAAAATGAAAGCCAGGGCACTCCTGTGAAACCTGATACAATAATCCAGGTGAAGATGACCGAGATGTGGGCAATTACTGCGTCAGTTTTTGCTTATTTGTGGCACTGGATATCCATCTGAGGTTCCACGCTAGGCAAGTGCTTTACTTTACATAAGTTTAGAAGACAGCCAAGACTGGCTGCAACTTTAGAGGAAGGCATGTGAAAAAACAGTGAGCGCGCCAGGGAGTGGCCATCTCCTATGTACATGGGGATGTCTGGGCATGAGTTACGGATAAGGGGCAGCAATTTAGCTGAAGGTAAGTGTGAATGAAATTTGAGGTGGACAGCGTGTATGTAAATAAAGAAAAACAAAGAAGTCCCAGAAAGAGGCCTGAGCACTCCACACTGAGCTCGGTTAAGAGACCCTGGGTTGGATGCACGCCATTGACCCTAGCACTCGGGAGGCAGAGGCAAGTGGATCCTTTGAGTTTAAGGCCAGCCTTGTCTACAGCGTGAGTTCCGGGAGAGCCAAGGCTACACAGTGAAACTCTGTCTTGGAAAAACAAAAAACGAGAGAGAGAGAGAGAGAGAGAGAGAGAGAGAGAGAGAGAGAGAGAGAGAGAGAGAGAGAGAGAGAGAGAGAGAGAGAGAGAGAGAGATCAATAGATTGTGGTGGTTTAAATAAGAATGGACCCCATAAGCCAGGCGTTGGTGGCGCACACCTTTAATCCCAGCACTCGGGAGGCAGAGGCAGGCGGATCTCTGTGAGTTCGAGACTAGCCTGGACTACCAAGCAAGTTCCAGGACAGGCTCCAAAGACACAGAGAAACCCTGTCTCGAAAAACCAAAAAAAAAATGGACCCCATAGACTCTTATATTTGAATGCCTGGTCATCATCAGGAAGTGGCACTGTTTAAGAGGTGTGGCCTTGTTGGAGGAAGTGTATCACTAGGAGGTGAGCTCTGAGGTTTCAAAAGCCCAAGCCAGGCCAGTGGCTCTCTTTCTTTCTGCTGCCGGAGGATTCAGATGCAGAATTCACAGCTCCTTCTTCAGCACCATGTCTGCCTGCATGCCGCCATGATTTATGCTCTGGTGAGAATAGACTAAACCTCTGACACTGTAAGCAAGCCCCAGCTAAATGCTTTCTTTATAAGAGTTGTCATGGCCATGGTGTCTCTTCACAGCAATAGAATACTAAGACAGAGATTCTCCTGTCCCTGCCTCTGCCTCCAGAGTGCTGAGATTACAGATGTGTGCCACCTGAGTGTATTTTTAAAGGGGGAACACCTGGGCAGAAGCTGACTGAAGGATTCCAACACACACAGTCTTAGTTAGGGTTTCTATTGCTGTGAAGAGACACCATGACCATGGCAACTCCTATAAAGAAAAACATTTCATTTGGGTGACTTAACCTTTTCAGAAGTTTAGTTCATAATTGACATGGTGGCATGTAGGTAGACATGTGTTAGAGATAGAGCTGAGAGTCCTACATCTTGACTTGCAGGCAACAGGAAGTGGTCTGAGACACTGGATGATATCTTGAGCATATATGAAACCCCAAAGCTCACTTCCACAATAACACACTCCCTCCAACAAGGTCACACCTCCTAACAGTGCCACTCCCTTTGGGGGCCATTTTCTTTCAAACCACCACACACACCGATGAGAACGCTTACAACACCAGGTGACAGCAGAGCTGGTGGAGAGAATATTGTAGGTGGGGTTTTTCTGTGCTGTGGCCGCTTCCCAAATAATCAACACAATGGCTTAATATTACTTATGAATGCTCAGCCAATAGCTCAGGCTTGTTACTAACTAGCTCTTACAACTTAACTCATTTCAGCCGGGCATTGGTGCACGCCTTTAATCCCAGCACTCAGGAGGCAGAGGCAGGTGGATCTCTGTGAGTTTGAGGCCAGCCTGGTTTACAGAGTGAGTTCCAGGACAGCCTCCAAAACAACAGAGAAACCCTGTCTCGAAAAACCAAAAACCAAACCAAACCAAAACCAACTAATTTCTGTTAGTCTATGTTCTGCCCAAGACTCATGCTTTTACCTCTATCCCATGTGTGTGTCCATCTCAAACGTCCCCATCTGACTGGTGGATTCCTCACTCCGCCTTCTCCATCCCAGTGTCCTCAGTTTGATTGTTCTTCCTAACTTTTTCCTGCCTTGCTATAGGCCAAGCAGCGTCTTTATGAACCAATGAGAGTAATACATATTCACAGTGTATGGAGGTATCATTTCACAGCAGATCACACAGACAGACAGACAGACAGATAGACCTAGCTGTAAAATACCATCTCAAATTACTGCTTTTAAAGAAGTTTATTGCAAAGAATGCTGGAAACAGTGCAACGTACAACTGAAACCCAAAGCCATATGTTCTAAGGAGAACAGGACAATTCTGCCCATGAACCATCTCGGCTACAAGCTGGTGGCCAGCCTGCATGCAGCTGCCTTGCAGAGGCCACTTCCAGGCGCTTGAGGAAGGGACTGCTCAGCACTTCTGCACGTGCCCTGCTTCACAGACACCCTTCTGCCCCAACCCTAGGCTCTTATACCTCCGAGTCCAGCAATTCCTGTCCTCCCTGGACAGAGGAAAAAGACTTTGGTGGCATCCAGCTATGTATTCTTGCTGTTAACCACAGGGTCTGCTCTGGCTAACAAGCGTGTGGAGATAACACGACCAGCATCACTCAGCTTTTGAGAGACAGGAAGCAAAAGTTGCAGGCCCCACGTCCCAAAGGCAGCGGTACTGTCCTCTAGCTTCGGGCTAGGGCTTGGAGGTCTGGAAATGTTCTTGGATGCAGGGCCTGGCTCCCCCATGGCTGCTCTGTGGCCAGCAGAGCACTGATTACTTCTGTAAACAGTTTCTCGCCCTGCTTCATAGCCTGCTTGTCACTCTGCTGGCCACTGAAACACGGAGCCTGACTTCGCCGCCTGGACCCACAGGAACTTAGGGCATGAGAGGCACCAGGCTTCATAAGGCTGTTTTCAGTAGGCTTAAGTTGTATACGAATCAAAACTGGAGTGGGGTGCAGACTCCTCCCTTGGCTGGGGCTGCCTCTGTGTTCTGTCCTCTCCTTCCTCAGTCCTACCAATGGAGGTCAACAAACAAGAAGACAATCTGACAGGATTATCAGTTCTGAGCCATTTATGACAAAGGCATGTCCTGTGTGGACAGTGACAGCAGCAGCCAGGTAGGGGAGACCACTTCCCATGAGCACTTTGGTGAGTGCACCGAGAAGGTACTTCGTGGCTGCCCTGCCATTCCATGGTCCCCATGGGGGAACTCAGGACAAGGCAGCCTGAGCTGCAGCTACCCCATATTTCAGTGTACAGCTTAGTAGACATTAGGAAGCATCACAGATGCTGCCTTCCACATTTATTCAGTGTTCCAACGCCAAAGAGGATGCCCTGGTCTCATGAGCACAAATATGGGTGACGGCTCCTCTGTTCCACTCTTCCATTCCAGGAGGGAAGGAAGGGCTTTCCCCTTCACCAAAGGCAGTGTACACTGAGGTCCCACAAAGATCTGGCCTCTGGCTTCAAGAGTGGCTACAGAGAGGACAGCAGAGCTCTCCAGGGGTCACGTGGCCCATTTCAGGCAGCTGGGCCACAGTGGGGACGTCCTAGTGAGACTTTTTGTCTCAGAGTCACATTTAAGGTTGCACGCCTCACGAAGCAGCCAGCCTGGGGAGTGAGCTGCTTGACGGCTGCAACAGAGGGGACAGCAGCAGGGCACAAAGCCCAGGGAACTCAGCAGCCGGTCAGCTATACCCAACCCTGTCACCGGTTGTCAACAAGGAGGCAGGTGGGCTAGGCTGAGGGTTCTGAGTGTTGTCAACCATCCGTGGCTTCCAGGAGTGTTCCTGCGTGGTGACAGTATTGCAAACACCAAGGAGGACTGGAGTGATCCTCTCTGCAGAAGTCAGGGCCTGCCTGCAGGTCTTGGATGAGATGTGGTCATTGGTGAGCAGGGACTGTGACAAGGGCTTCCTCTGAAGGCCTGGATATGTCTACATTCTGCACAACAATAAAGACAAAGGCTGTTTACCCTGCTCAGGAACATCTCACTCCTGCGGTCCTGATCACTGTGACCAGACACATCCCGCCTCAGTGTGCCCCAGCTGAAAGACCCTAACATGCCCTGAGCATGAAGCCCTACTTGCCAGTGCTCAGACGAGAGGACAAGTGTGGGGTGAGGGTGTGGCCAACTCCATGCTTCACTGCAAGCAGGCCAGGTGCTGCCCACAGAGAGGCCACGCCCCCTCCCACCTGAGGACTGGTCAAGCCAGAGGCGTGCACCTCCTTCCTGGCTCTCGCAGCCTAAGAACGTCTAGTTTGTAACATGTTTTATCTCCTCGGGACAGAACCACACAAGGCCATACAGCTCAGTTCTATCTTTGGCCTGCTGAGCTTCCAGTATCTCAGGCTTGGTGTGGCTTGGGACCTCTCTCAGCTCTATGAGGCTGCCCTGTGAGCCCTCTGATTCCAGAAACTGAGGAACGGGTGAAGAGTGGTAGCCCTGTGCAGCACGACATAGCCATGCTTCAGGCCTGCACTGAGCTCACAGACCAGCCCAGGAGCTGTTGGAGCAGGTAGATCCCTACTTTCAGGCAGGGTTGGTTTGTTACTGTTTTTGCTTTGTTCTTTGAGAGAGGGTCTCATGTAGCTCCTGTTGCCCTCAAACTCACTATGTAGCTGAGGATGACTTTGAACTTCTGACTCTCCTGCCTCCGTGTGCTGGGATTATAGGCATGTGCCACTATGCACTGCTGGGAATCAATTCCAGGGCTTTGTGTGTGATAGACAAGCATTCTACCAACTCAGCCACACGCCAGGCCCGTGATACTTTCTAAAGGTCAAAGGTACCCAGTTCAAAAGGCTCATGATGCCTGGACTGGCAAGAGAGGCCAGAATCACCACCTACCATGGGTGGGCATCTAGCCTCTCCCTCCCCGGACCGGCTCTGGTCCAGATCCATGGCAGGGCTGCTCGGGAGCTGGTGAGGCCTTAAGAACTGGGAGCCAAACACACCCAGCTCCAAGGCTTCCTGCTGGTGGCCCAGCTCCAGGTCCCTCCCCAGGCCTGACCTTGGGAAATACCTAACCAGGCCACAGCCCCACCCTGGCCACAGGAGACAGACCTAAACAGAAAACAGCCCTGGGAAGACACTCACCGTTACCCTAGCCTGGCCCTGACCCAACTGGGAACCCTGAAGATGTAGAGTCAGAACACCCCTGGGGAACATGTCCACCACCCCAGCGGTGAGCCCAGTGCTACCTGAGGCCTGTCTCGGTGCGTGTTCACAGCTGCCACATTCAGGAATATGGACTCCACTTTACAGCCTGCAGAAGGAAGAGGCCAGTGAAGTCCCCACAAGATGGCAGCCAGAGCCAGAGAGGCAAAAGCTGCTCTAAGGAGGACAGGATGTACAGAGCTCAGCTTTACCCTCAGCCTTCCTTCCCGAGACAGCTCCAGGACCACCAGGAGGCAAGGTAGCCTTGTCAGGTAGCCATGTGTGACGGCTCATGCGTGCCTCATGGGGGACCCAAGCTGCCTACACAGGGACTGGGAGTGGCCGGGGCAGCAACAGGTCAATGATCAATACGGAAACCCTAACTATTGGTGTCCCCAAACCAGTGCCACCCTCCATCCTGCCAAGAAAGTACAGTCAGCCCAGGAGGAGGGACAGTAACTCCAGTTCCCCTGGGGCTCATCCTCCACAAGGGAGAAGCGGGAGAGTGGGCTGCGGCCTGAGCATCTGCAGTGAAGTAGGAGGCAGGGGAGGGACACAGATGTCCCGCATGCAGAATATTCTAGGGCTAAGGAAAGATCAAAGATCGCTGAGGAGGCTTCCTGTGGTCCCAGAACTTTTGCTTGTTTGAGACAGAGCCTCATTCTGTAGCTCAGGCTGGTCTTGAACTCACTATGTAGCTAAGGCTAGCCTCAAACTCTTGGCAATCTTCCTACCTTGGCCCCCTGATTACAAGCATACACCACCGTAACTGAATACACCAAGTTTTTATAAACTGAAAAGCAAACCAGGTGCACAGTTAGAATTCCAGCACTGGTGGGGTAGGGGTGAGGCAGAAAGCTTCTGAGCAAAAACCTGCCCCAGACAATGAAAGAAGAGAAACAGAAGAGGGGAGCTGGGAAAGGCAGTATGTGCTGGAGAGTGGGGATGAATGAGTCCCAACGGAAAGAAGAGATCTGTGGACCACCATAGAACCCCACATACAGCCAGGGTCAAAATGTGGGACGCCCCCTTACCGTAAGCCACAGGTGTGAGCTTCAGGACTGTGTGCAAAGGACATTTGAGGTAGGGCAGCTCTTCTGTGGACAAAGAAGGACAGGGCTCACATGCCACACATGCCTGGATGTCCCCATGTCATGCACACAGCCCACCTGCCCAGCTGAGGCCCCTCACCGGCTGCCTTGTCAAGGAAGTAGGCCAGAAGGCAGCGCATCACAGCCTGGTGGCAAATGACCAGCACGTTCTCCTGTCTCTCCAGTTCCATGATGACAGGCTCTAGTCGCTGCACCAAGTCTTCATAGGACTGCAGAGGCAAGCAACAAAGTGGCCTTCAGGCCTGGTCCCAGGGGTAGGAACCAGGTTAGGTGCTGTACTGTCTAGATTTACGTCAGCTCGACACAAACCAGAGTCATCTGAAAGGAGGTGTGGTGGTTTGGATGAAAACAGCCCCCATAGGCTCATAGGGAGTGGCACTATGAGGAGGTTTGGCCTTGCTGGAGTAGGTGTGGCCTTGTAGGAGGAAGTGTGTCACTGGGGGTGGGCTGTGAGGTTTCAGATGTCAAGCCAGGCCCAGTGTCACTCTCTCTTCCAACTGCCTATGGATCCAGATGTAGCACTCTCATCTACGTTTCTAGCACATCTGCCTGCATGCCACCTGCTTCCCACCATGATGATAACGGTTTCCTTTACGAGAGTTGCCGTGGTTATGGTGTCTCTTTACAGCAATAGAAACTCCAGGACAGGAGGTTACCTCAATAGAGAAAAATCCCTCTATAAGATCTTTTCCTTAACTAGTGATTGATGGGAGAGGGCTCAGTCCAGTTTGGGCTGAGCAAGTCATAGGAAGCAAGCCAGTAAGCAGCACCCTCCATGCCTCTGCATCAGCTCCTGCCTCCAGGTTCCTGCCCTGTTTGAGTTCTGTCCGGACTTCCTTCCATGAAGAACTTTAATGTGGAAGTGAGAGCCAAATAAACCCTTTTCCCCCCACTTTCTTTTTGTCATTGTGTTTCATCCCAGCAATAGAAACCCTGAGACAGGGGTGCTGGGCAGTGAGCACCTGCTAACTCTGGGAGCTGCTCACCATGCCCGAGGTTGTGTTTAAGCTCCCTCTAGCCTGGTTCCTGAGGGAATGGAGTAGGTAGCTGCCCTTGGAGGGCTGCTTTAGTGAGACGTCCAACTTGGGCAGGAGTTGGGGAAAACCTGGAAAGGGGGCCACCTTCTCCTTCCAGGGCTAGGTCCTGGTAGGACCAAGAGAGCTAGGCCTCAGACACACCCCAAAAGGTTACTATCAGGTCCCAAAGAAACTAAGGATACATGGTTACCTGTGGTGCCTATTGGCATAATGAAGCAATGCTGGTCTTCAGCCCCCTCAGTACCATAAGTACCTGTGGCTCCTCTCACCCCACCCCTACCCTAAACTTCTCCAGCTCAGGGGCTTCTCCCCACCACTTTCTCATTCCCTTGTAACCAACTACTTTGACCATGTGTTCTCTGGGTCCCCCTCTATTGCCTCCCTCCCTCTTCCTCCTCCCTCTGTCTCTTTCTCTGTCTGTCTCTCTCTCTCTCTCCACCCATTCTTCTCTCCTGGCTAGGCTCAGTCTGCTGAACATGTTGGGTCTACAACTTCCTCTCTCTGCTCTGGATTCTTCCAGATGCCTCTGGCTGTTCTCTCCCTCATACCAACAATAGGAACTTTCCTATTAACCACGCATTGGAGAGTATGTCCTCAGTTTATACAGTCACCTCATGCCATCCGTGGGGGCCTCTGCAGCTTCTACCACAGGATTCAGTGGCTGGAAGCTGTGACCTCAGAAAAGCCCCTGCCTCCCTCTAGCCCACAGCACTGAAGTACATGGAGAGGGCAGAGGTGGGTGTGGTGGGACAAAGGCCCAAGGACTTCCTGGAGTAGGACAACTGTCAGGAACTTGGGGTCCCCAGGAACAACCTTGTGATTATCTGCTTCTCTGTCCCCTCCCCTACTGTTGTGGTAATGGGGACCTTATATCTCCTGGGTCAACTCCTAGCTCCAGTTTTTTGTTTGTGTTTTTGTTTTTTGAGACAGGGTTTCTCTGTATTGTTTTGGAGGTTGTCCTGGAACTCGCTCTGTAGACCAGGCTGGCCTCGAACTCACAGAGATCCGCCTGTCTCTGCCTCCAGAGTGCTGGGATTAAAGGCGTGCACCACGCTCCTAGCTCCATTTTAACCGGAGAATTAGGCATGGGGGTGGGGCAGTTCCACCTCTCTACACAGATCTCATCTTTCAATGTTCATCCCCGGGCAGAGCCTGCCCCACGCTGTGACTGGGCAGCAGTACCAACGCCCAACCTGTGCTGATCTCCAGCAGTTCTGGGAAGATTCTTTTTTGTTTCTCTTTTTTATTGTGTTATTTTATGTATGTGTGGAAGGGTATATGTTCAGTGATTATATGTATGTATGTGTCCACACACACGTGGAGGCTTTGAGGTCAGCCTCAGATGTCATTTGTCAGGTGCTGCCTACCTTATCTTTTGAGATGGGGTCTCTCATTGGCCTGGAGCAGAGTATGGGAGCAGGCCCCAAAGACTGACCTGTCTCCACCTCCTCAGTACTGGGATTACAGGCATGCACACTATACCAGTGTTTTGTTTTATTTTTAACCTGGGTTCTGGGGATCAAACTTAGGTCGTTATGCTTGCAAGGCAGACAGCAGACTATACTATCTCCCCAACCCCACACTGTTTCTCTTTACCACTATGAGGTTAGTTCTGAACCTGAACTCTGCCTCACAACGCAATGTGAGAATTATTCAGGTCACCCAGAGCTACCTGATTCCACACATGTGTCTCAGGGCACCTCCTTGAAACAGGAGGAGATTCCTCAGCCAAAGTGATTCTTGCTTTCTGACCTGGGGTCTGGAATGACCAGGGACTCTCTGAGGGATGGTGGCAGTGTTATCACTTTGCCAAATCTCTCTGGAGAAGGTCTCCATGGATCTGGAAGCAGAGTTGGGGTTGGCACATGGAGCTCTGGGGAGGACAGGAGCACCTTGTGACAAGTGTAAGCATCCAAAGAAAGGGGAGAGGTCCCAGGCAGAGATAAAGGTGGACTGCACCTTTGGAGTGAGCCCTGGCCACTTAGAGCACTCTGGGAAAAGGCTAATGACTCCCTGAATAAGGAGCAGGCAGAGGTAAGGGTGGACTGCACCTTTGGAGTGAGCCCTGGCCACTTAGAGCACTCTGGGAAAAGGCTAATGACTCCCTGAATAAGGAGCAGGCAGAGGTAAGGGTGGACTGCACCTTTGGAGTAAGCTCTGGCCACTTAGAGCACTCTGGGAAAAGGCTAATGACTCCCTGAGTAAGGAGCTGGCCTGGGCATCCAGGGGAAGATGGCTAAGATATAGAAGCCCCAGAAAAGCCAAACCCAACAGAGCCAGGGGCACTCAGCGTAGGCTCTGCCCTCACCAGGTCTATAACCTTAGGAAGGGGGGAACAAAGACAGAGAGGGACCCAACATGGCTAATCCCTGCTCTCTGTAGTACTGCCCCCCCACCAACCAGGAAAAACAAAGGTCCAGCAGACAGAGCTGGGAACTGATGGAGGAGAAACCCACACCTAGGTTGCCAGCCTCAAGGCCAAGGCTCCCAGCCCTGACCACAGCAGCACTGCCAGGCAGGCAGCAGGCACTGAGACCCCAGCTCCCACCTACCTCGCCCTTCGGGTACCGGTAGCGGTACTTGTCCTGATCCCTGAGGGCAAACTCCAGTGGGTAGTGATCCTGGATTTCTTCGTAGGTCATTTCCTCACAGACACCCTAGGAAGACACAGCAGGCATCACACCACCCATGCCAGGCTGAAAAGACCAAACCTGGGTTGCAGCAGCAGACAGAGGGGAATCAGCATTTCCTGGGCAAGGGGACACTCCTACTATAAAGCTTACACTGTGCGGAAAAGCAGCCCCTCTCTGGACATTGAGTACACTGGCAGCCACATCCATAGGAAGCTATCAAAACGGTCCTTACCTATCCATCACATAGCTATCCAGTGGGTGATACAGGGCTTAGCACTAATGTGTGTCTTTTCCTAAGTCTTTAATTGTTTTGTTTTATTTTTTGTTCTTTGAGACAAACTCTCTACATACAGCCCTGACTGTCCTGGAGCTGACTTTGTAGACCAGGCTGGCCTCAGGCTCACAGAGATCCGCCTGCCTCTGCCCCCCCCCAAGTGTTGCAACTAAAAGGCACACACCACTACACCTGGCTTAAATTTTTTATTGCATTTGTTTGTTTGTCTGTTAGTTTATTGTGTGTGTACCCATGTGCTCATGGCATGGCATGGGTGTGGAGGTCAGAGGACAGCTTGCAGGACTCAGCTGTCAGGCTTGACAGCAAGTGCGCTTTTCCACTGAGCCATCTTGCTGGCCTTAAGTCTTGTCTATTATGGAAGTACTAAATATGAGTAGAGACTCTGTGTGAACTCATTTGTATGCTGGAAGGAGAGAGCAGGCCACAGTGGACAAGAGCGGGCTGGCAGGAGGGGGGGAGACGGGGATGGATGAACGGATGGACAGACAGATGACACATACACTATCTTATACAAACATCGAAACAAAACAAGCCAAGCTTAGCGCACTTAGCACTTAGTGCACTAGGAGATGGATCATGGGTACAGGAACTGAAGGTCAAGGGTGAGATCAGCCTGATCCATATGAGACCCGGTCTCAAAAAACAACGTAGAGCCTTTTGCAGAGGACCTGGGTTCAATTCCCAGCACCCACTTCAGGCATCTCACAACTGCCTGTAATTCCAATCTAGGAGATCTGATGCCCCAGATCCTCATAGGCACCTGGATTACTCACACACACACACACACACACACACACACACACACACACACACACACACACACACACACACACACACACACACACCACCAACAACAACAACAACAACAACAAAGGCACTTCAGAGACTGTTCAATGATTAAAAACGCTTGCTGCTTTTCCAGAGGACCCATGTTCAGCTTCCAGAAACCATGTTGGGGGTCACAGTCATCCAAATGTGACTTAAGCCACCTGCAACTCAAGTTCCAAAGAATCCAACGCCTTCTTCTGGTCTCTGCAGGCACCACACATCCATACAAATAAATAAAACATAGTCACCAGCAGAGAAGGTGTTGGAAAGTCCCGAAGAGTTATTTGAGGCACTGAAGAGATTGAACCATCTCGTGACCTACTTCACCTGGGTGAGACACCACTATGATACCCCTAAGGAACTAATACATGTTTTGAGATCAGAAAGTGAAACAGTGTTGTAATAAGTCCCTAAGAATGTGGAAGTGGTTACAGAGGCAGGAAGAATATTTTAGGTTGCTTTGAAGAGTCTGTTGGTAACAATGTATATGTTAAAGGGGATTGTGGAAAGGCTTAAAGGGAAGCAGGGATGATAAAGAAAGCCCTGGTCAGACGGCAGCAGGCGGGGGGGAAGGGGGGTATTGGTGGTGCAGGCCTCTAATCCCAGCACTGGGGAGGCAGAGGCAGGAGAAGAATCCAGTGAGAGACCCTGTCTCAAAAAAGTCAGATGGAGAATTACTTAAGAACACTTGGCATTAGTGTTGACCTCTGGGCTCATGCACACCTATATGCACATGTGCACAACACCCAGGAACCTGGACACAACATGCATGCACATGCATATACATACACACACACACACACACTCTCTCTCTCATGTGTGCACACACACGCCGTGTACAAACACACATGCACACACACGCATCTCTGTTGTCAACATCACCATAACCAGGCTGTTATATAAATGTGAGGTTGCCCATCGTAGAAGCAAACACTTGCAATCTCAATATTCAGGAAGCTGAGAAAGAGGATCATGAGATCCCAAGCCAGTCTGAGTGACAGAGCAAGATCCTGCTTCAACAGGAAAAAAGAAAGAAATGTGGGTGTTGGGGTGTTTCTGTGAAGCCTCAGAAGGAAGTGCTGGTCATGAGAAACTAGAGAAAAGATGATTACTGTTCTGAAGAGGTGGAGAACTTGGCTGAAGTATGTTCTAGTACTGGAAGCTATATATGATGCCTTCTTCTGGCCTCTGGAGGCACTACAGCTGCACAAGGTGCACATACAGACAAGCAGGCACACACACACACAAAGGAAAATACATAAAATGTTGGCTCAATGAGTGAAGCACTTGCTGGATAGGAACGAGGACTGGGGTTGAGATCCCCAGAACCCACTTAATGTCAGGTGGGCATGCTGGCCTGCATATAATCCAGCACATGGCAGGCAGACACAGTGAGAGACTGTGCCTCAAAATGTAAGGTGAAGAGTAGCTGAGAAGACACTCAGTGTCAACTTCTGATCTTCCCAAGCATATGCAAACACGCAAACACACATGAATGCATACTACACTACAAAAAAGTTGAGAAAACCGTCAAAGTACAAGCCATGTAGAAAAGCATTTCATATTTTTAAAAAATGAACCAAGGCCCTGGAACCCTGAGAGGAAGTAGGAGGGGCCTGAGACTGCAGCATAACCACTTAGAGGCACTTCCTGTACGACAGAGAGAGCATAACAGTGAAGAGACAGAAAACAGAAAAACAAAAAAAACTAGACTCCTTAGAGCTTCAAAGGGCGCCTCTGAAATAAAGGCTCATGCCGCCCCCGCGGCCCCCCCGCCTGCCTTTCAGTGTGGAGAAGGGCCGTCCTATCTGCACTTCTGCAATGGATGGAAACTCTGGTCAAGAAGAACAAGCAGACCTAATTCTGAACCCAGTGGCCTGAAGGCTGCACTCCTCCCAATGTGCAGAGGTGATTCACGAGGCTACGGCTCTAAGGCTGGACAAAGGAGTCACCAGAAGGGGGAAACACTACTCTGAGGGCTCTAGCCACAAAGCAATAGTCAGTCAGACTTTCCAAACCAGAAAGAAAAAGCAGAAGTAAAAATTAATTTTAAAACACAAACAGTAATAGAAACAAACTATCCACACAAAAGCTTATTAAGTGGGGAAGACACTGGAGAATCACTGGGCTTGCCGGCTGCCAGGTTATCCAGTGAAATACTGTCTCAAAGGAAGAAGGCAGAGCGCTGGGGTGGGTTACCCAACTTCACCCTCTAGCCTCTGGGTGCACCCAGGAGCACACAAATATGCGTATGCCTCACAAAACACATGTGTACACACACACACACACACACACACACACACCTCTCACAGACATACACACCACAAAAACATACACACACACCCCATGCCTCACAGGAATTTGTGTGTGTGTGTGTGTGTGTGTGTGTGTGTGTGTGTGTAGAATCTTCTCAGAAAAAGTTTTGTCACAGAGTGACCTACAAGCAAGTCAAGTCATGAACAAGGTAGATCATAATTAAATTCTGAAAACCATGATCAATGGGAATTCTGAAAGTGGTCAGAGAAGGGATATGCCTGGGCATGGCCAGAGGAACACAGAGCATGGCCATGAGCTGCTTCTCAAGCAGATGCTACAGGGACATCAAGAGAGCAACAAAACAGCCATATTGATTGATTATATATATGTATGTATCTTTTTTTTTTAAGACAGGTTTTCTCTGGTAGCCCTGGCTGGCCTGGAACTCACTGTGTAGACCAGGCTGGCCTCAAACTCACAGAGATCCTCCTGCCGCTGTCTCCCAAAAGCTGGAATTAAAGGTGTGCGCCACCACACTCAGCTGAAACAGCGACCTTACAGAGGTGCTGGGGCTGACAAGATGGCTCAGCAGATGAAGGCACTTGCCACCAAGTCTAGTGACACAAGTTCAGTCCCCAGGACCCACAGGGTGGAAGGAGCGAACTGACTCCAACAAGTTGTCCTCTGACCTCACATACACTGTGGCATGTGTCACAGACACCCAAAGAAAAATACATGAATGAATGAAAGAATGAATGAATGTCATTTGAAAGCAAACAAGCAAGGGCTAGATGGAGAGATGGCTCAGTGGTTAAGAACACTGGCTGCTCTTCCAAAGGACCCGGGTTCAATCCCAGCACCCACATGTCAGCTCACAACTGTCTGTAACTCCAGTTCCAGGGAATCTGACACCCTCACACAGACATACATGCAGGCAAAATTCCATTCTACAGTAAATAAATAAATAAATGAAAATTTAAAACTCTTAAAGGAGATGCTGGGCTGAGTGTGGCAGTATGTATACATTTTTAATCTAAGAGGCAGAGGCAGGTGAATCCCTTGAGTTTGAGGCCAGCCTGGTCTACACAGAGAATTCCAGCACAGCTAGGGCTACACAGAGAAACCGTGTCTCAAGGGGGCCAGGTGCCAACTGGGCCATCTCATGTGTATCTCCAAATTCCTCGTCCCTCTCTGCTGCTCTGACCACTCTGCACCGCACCCACCAGGCCATGAGGGATGAGACCACGGGAAGGGGAGGGAGCTGGTCACTCCCAGGCTAGGTCTTCACCGGAGGCCACATCCCATCTCACAGGCTGACCTTTCCTCCTGCTGTCATGTGGACAGTGACAGCAATGGTCCTGACTGTTAGGAGGTCAGTCCACCACAACAGGCTTCTCGGTTTCCATATCACTCGTCTATTTCTTTGTGAGAAGTTGCTCTGTAAGCCCTCGCGTTACTGTGACTGTGAAGAAGGGGCCAGTTGTCAGCCTAACCACCTGTACTTTGTCACTCTCTCCTTCTACTTTGCTTCTTTGACATTTTCCCTCTTCTCCTCTGAACGTTATTTTGGATTCAGAGACAAGACTATGAACGCCCTCATGACAACTGCCCCAGGCTTTGCATATAGAGCATCCCATAGCGAGCTCACCCATGCCAGGGGGGCTGCATCCTGCAGCTGTGGTAATCATCTCTCTAGAACCAGACTGCCCCTCAAGTGGTGACAGAGTGACTGCTTCTCCTGAACCCCTTTCAGAACTAGAGAGAAGCCCGTGACCAGACCACTGGCCTGACCAAACAAGACTTCCTGTTCTGGCAACTGTGCAAACCCCAAACCCTTCTCTCCGTTGCTTCCCCTTTACACGGAATCTCAGAGTTCCTCTCAGTCTGTGAGATGGACTGAGGGTCAGTGGACTCTGCATCTACCCATCTCAACAGTGGTCACACTGATTGTATCTCCGTCTTTTGCCTTGTCTCTGATTGTCATGGTGGAGTGGGTGGACAGGCTCCTAGAGCCAGGGTGTCTGCCCTAACACTCTAAGAACAAGTAGAAACAAGAATCTGTTTCTAAGTTTTTCTGTTTAGTCCAAGGTCTCATGTAACCCAAGATGACCTCAAACTGTAGTCAAGGTTGACCTTGAACTTTGTCCTTCCTGCCTCTATTTCCCAAGGGCAGAAATCACAGGTGCAAGCCACCATGACAGGTCTATGCACTGCTAGGGATTCCATCCAGGGCTTTCTGCACACTAGGCAAGCATCCTCCTAACTAAGCTATCTCCAATCCACAAGTGATGACTTAAGTTATTTTATATTAAAAAATCAAAATATGCACAGTAAAATATAGAGAACAAAAAAGAAATGTGAGAAAAACAATCATAATTATAGTATAATGATACTCAACTATTATGTAATGATGACCAAGTTTACAAAAAAACCCCTAAGAATGCAGAGAATTTGAAGGATATAATTACAGTCTCTGAAACTGATACATTATACTTACAAACTTTTCTCATGGAAATTTCATCCACACAGAAAATCAGAGACAACAGTAAAAACGGCACCTTGCTGGCACCTTTTAGCACGATTAGTAACAACATAGTGAACGTGTTTCAACTAAAATTGTAGCTGCTTCCTTCCCACCGCCTAACACGGGAGAGAGGGGCAGAAAGTGAGAAGGGAGGCACATAAGGCTGAGTGAGTCAGGCCTTCCCTCTGAGGTCCTTGCCAACAGGGTCTGGGAGCTGCTTCTAAACCGGTACCGACCTGTCAACGGCATGGCCACACTGTACTGTAAGATTCCACAGGCTCCTTACTGACTAAAGAAATAAGCTGTAGATCCTAAGAGGCCCACATGGCAGGGAAGTATGGCTGGCCTGTAGGAGCTTAGATACTGGCAAGTGTGCTGGGAAGACAGCAGCCCCTCACTCCTGTAGCCTTGAGAGATGACTCTTGGTAACGAGCACCTGGCTTGAAGGAGACCCCAAGCCGAGACAGACTTCCTGGCTGCCACTGTAATTGCAGAGAACCCAGCCACACCTGCCAGGTGTGCTTGAAGGGACTTGTGTGAGATTCCTCTGGAAGGGTCTCTTCCGGCCTCCATGGACAACCACACACATGGCATATACTCACAAAGATACACATGAATAAAAATAAAAAAAATTCTTAAAAATATACAAAAAAAACAAAGAGTATTTTTTATTTTTGCTTTTTCTAAGCCTAAGCTCAGAAAAGATAGGAAATCCACCAAATTCCTATTCTAGTAGCCGATAACTCAGGTTTCTGGCCTGTACCTGCCAGGCTCAGGGAAGCCCCACCCATATCTCTGGTGTCCTCCACTCCTCTTTTTCCTTTTTTTATTTTGTTTTTTATCAAGACAGGGTTTCTCTGTGTTAATAGCCTGGCTGTCCTAGAACTCACTCTGTACACCAGGCTGGCCTCAAAGTCACAGAGATCCACCTGCTTCTGCCTCCTGGATGCTGGAATTAAAGGTGTAGCCAACATGCTTATTTCTTCCTTCCTTCCTTTCTTTTTTTTAAAATTGCTTTTGTTGTTTGAAGCTGTTCTCACTCTATAGCCCAGGTTGGTCTTAAACACGTTACAATCCTCCTGCCTCAGCTTCACAGGTGGAGAGTTCACATGTATGAACCATCATGCCTGGTGCTGATGACTTTTTTTTAAGGTTTCTTAATGAGGACATGGTTCTGTTAACGAGAATAAGGAGTCATTGGTGAAACATTATGCTTGAATTTGCTTTAAAATAACCCAGTAGCAAAAGAGATGGAATAGTGAAAACAAGACCAATGTGAGCTGAGTGTGAGCATCCCGTGATGATGGCAGAGCACTGAGATCCAATCTGTCTGACGCTGACTATTAATTCTTTTACTTTCTGCATGCTATGTATTTAAGAAACTGGTCTGTTTAAAATTGCAAGTAGCCGGAGCCGGCGTTGGTGGCGCACGCCTTTAATCCCAGCACTCGGGAGGCAGAGGCAGGCGGATCTCTGTGAGTTCGAGACCAGCCTGGTCTATAAGAGTGAGTTCCAAGACAGCCTCCAAAGCCACAGAGAAACCCTGTCTCAAAAAAACCAATAAATAAATAAATAAATAAATAGAAATAAAAAAAAAAAAACAAAATTGCAAGTATGGTCAGCGAGGAGCTCATCAGGTAAAGGTGCTTGCCTGCCACCAAGGCCCATGCAGGTGGGAAAATAACCAATCCCTGTGGGTTGTCGCCTGACCTCTGGGAGAGCAACTGGCCTCAATACGTGCAGACACACAAACACAAAAGACATTGATAATGGTTTTAAACCCCAGAAGTATGACGATCACCGATTATTCTCCAGACCATACCGAGCACAAATGAAGGAGGGAGATTTTCCTTGGCCCAGAGGACAGCGCCCAAGAGGCAGGCAGGGGAGGAAGGGACAGCAATTACCGCGTCAATCTCATTGAGGACCTTCCACTGCTCGTAAGGCACGCTCAGCGCCTCCGCTGTCTGAATCGTCCTCTTCATCTGGCTCGTCCAGACCTTCAGGTCCTTGATATTCTGGTCACTGATGAACTGAGCCAAATGTTTGGCAAACTGAAACACATCACAGCATATTCAGCCCCACAGGTCCTGGGCTGCCTCAAAGGACACCAGAGCATGGGGTCTGTGGGGTTCTGTCCAACCTCAGGAAACAGGGTTAGTTAAAATCTGCACTAACTTCCATGATGCCGTCATCAAAGTGCTATTCTGTGCATTCTCCTCAGGTCCTAAGAGCAACCCCACATTGTCAGGTTCCTCCATCTTGATGCACTGTCCCAAGGCCATATGACCTCTTCTGTGAGTCCTTAATAACACCCCACCCCCAACCGTGTCAAGGCCTTTAGCGTACAGTTGGGACTCAGGCCGCTCTAACAGTAGCATAACTCTGCCAGGAAAGGGCCTGGCTGGTATCTGCTCAAGTGCATCTGCTTAGTGCCTTATCACCTTCCCTACATTCTAGACCAAAAAAGGCTGTCCACCTTGACCATACACTGGCTACAGAAGCCTCCTACTATTCATATACCCTCCAAAGGTACCAAAGTACAGATGCACGAATGTGCGCATCACACACACACACACACACACACACACACACACACACACACACACACACACACACACACACACTGACCTCCCTGCCCCGGGGAGACAGTCCAGGATCCCCACCAATCCGGCCTTTGAGGTTGAGTTCACTCTCCCCATGCCGGCAGAGGTAGATGGAGCGGGGTGTCACGTGGATGTTCATGAGGTAATAAACGATGCGACTCTGGATGTGGTCAGCTACGCGGTTCACCACGTAGCTCTGGCCCACGTCCATGATCTTGATGTAGGACAGATCTCTAGCCAGAGAGAAGGTAGAGAGATCCTGTGAGGGTGGCAAGGCCCTGGGGAGCACTTCAGAAGCCATAGGGACCTGCTCTAAAGCCTGCAACTCTAACAGTGGATTTGATCACAGCACACAGCTCTGTGAGCCGGTGAGCAGGTGATGGGGTGAGGTAGTGTGACACGCCACAGTGACACACAGAGAGGCACCGTGAGGGACACTCACCATGCTTCAAAGGTGACATCTAGAGAAGTGGTCAATCCAATCATGTCATGACTTGTACCACAGCTGCCTGTGTGTTCCCAGACCCCTTCCTGCCTCCCTCCGAATTCTGTAAGCTGAACCGAGACAGCTTTTCCGAGGGCTGACCTGGTAGCTGGCAAACACTCCACTCCCCTAAGTTCCTGCTCAGCTCTCCCTCAACAGTGAGCCTCGCCCAGGAACACGGTCAAGGTCACCTATGTGCCGAGGAGCTGCCACTCTCCTCACCAGGTAGCCAGTGGTTGAGAAGCGCAGGAGGACAGTGCTGGTGACAGCAGCTGACAAACCCAACTTGGCCACTTTCCCCACTCTGCACGTGTGCGACGCCTCTTAGAGAGGGCCCTATGCTGGCAGCGGTGGGGATGCGCTGTGACTTAGTCAGCAGTGCCCTGGGTATCCTCATTTGAGTTCTCACTGTCTGGAAAGATCATGCATCTGTGTGTCTGTTACCTTGATGTTATCAATAAAACCAGGAGCTACACCTACTGACAGGCCTGCCTGGGGCTGTCCCAGATAAGCCCCACTAGTGCAGTGGCACTACAGAGTGACAAGAAGCAATGCTGGGGGCCAGGGGACACGACAAAGCCACACACACAGAGGCCCAGGTGCCATTCAGCTCCGGCCTGGCTGCAGAGCCAGCAGAGGGAAGAAAGATGTGTCACCACGGCTGACACGGGCACCACAAGTCCACAAACGCCTAGAAGCCATCCCTCTAGCAGCTGCTTCTGTTCCTTGGTTTGTATGCATTATATATTCTTATGTAATTATAAACACCCAGACACATACTTATATTCCAGCCTTCCAGTTAATGCTGTGCAACCTACACTCCCACATCTCCCCGTAATTATGACTTATGGTGACTGATTTCAGCAAGGTCTCACTGCTATTTACTTAACTAACACTGGTTATACTTATGCCAAGATTCAGGAGGTGGCAAACTACTGCCAACAACTCAATTGCTGCCCACAAGCTGTTTTCTATGAAGTTTTAGTGGAACACACCCATGGCCACTTATTTACAGTTTCTTTTGCAGGACAATGGCACAGTCAGTTCACTGCAGCAGGGACTGTGAACCCTCCAAAGCCTAAATTAACTACTCACTGTCTAGCCTTTGCTGATCCCAGCTGCAGGACCCTCAGCTGGGCACCCACTATGGACTGACAGCCCCTGGCCACACGGCATTCCCGCTTGCTCTCCTATCCCAGAGGGAGGCGGATGGACCTGACACACATTGGCCACTGGCTGCTGTTCAGCCCCATCTCCTTCCCCAACTTCACAGCCAAAGAAGCAGATGCCTCTTGGAAAGACCCTCTGCGTGGAAATTAGGCTTGGTTTTATGATGGAACAGGACAAAGTCCGGGCTTGTAGAGCTCCAGATGAGGCAACAGGTGTTCTGGCCCAACGATTTCTGCCCCAAGGAGAGAGACAAGACAAAAGACCACCTCTGCCCTTTGGTGTGCCTCCCCAGCCACCACAGCAGGGAGCCACAATGAGGTGGCCAGGTGCCCCCCCCCCACTGCAGCTGCCTGCTTCCTCGCCCACCTGTCCAGGTCTTCATCCAGCGACTCATATGAGTTTTCATAGCACTCAATGCGCCTCATGAAGTCCTCAGTGGCCTCGTCGCTGTCCCGGTTGACGTAGTCAGGACTGCCTAACTTCACTTGCTGCCAGAGCCAGGAACAGAGCAAGGACACATCAGGGCTGGGGTCCAGACAGAGCGGAAAGCAAGGACACAGCTAGGGACCAGGGAGGTGGGGCCAGGCTAGGGCAGGGCAGGGCCTGAGGCTGCAGTCCAGCTGGGGACTGCTCCCATCAGGGATGGCTCTGAGGCTCCCATGTCTGAGTTAGTCTCTCACTCTGGAGCCCAGTGGGAAGCTCAAGGCTCTCTCTCTCTCTCTCTACCCTGAATTATCTTTCAAACTACATAGGCATCTTTTTTATTCCAAGACAGGGTTTCTCCATGTAGCCCTGACTGACCTGGAACTCACTCTGTAGACCAGGCTGGCCTCAAACTCACAGAGATCCACCTGCCTCTGCCTCCCAAGTGCTGGGATTAAAGGCGTGTGCCACCACTGTCTGGCTGACATGGCTATTCTTTAGACAACCAAAGAGTAAAGAATAAGAATAAAAATCCAGTCTGAATCTTAAATAGAAACACCCAGCCCACCCTGGCTGAAGCTCCTCTCCCGCTGCCCGGGGATTATGGGAGAGAAGGGAGAGAGGAGGAAATAAGCAAGAATGAAAGGCTGTGAGGCACTGGTCCTCAGGACCCCAGGCTCACAAAATCCAACATCAGTGAAAGGCCAGCCCAAGCACCAACCCAAACCTGGAGAGGGACCACACTGTTACCGTCACCATCACCGTCACCTGTCTCATTACCTCCCAAGGAAGTCAGATGCACCACTCACCACGATGTTGGCAGCTATGACCTCAGGATCCACACAGATAGATTCGACAAAGAAGGTCTACAGCAAGGGCGGAGCGCCAGGGAGAGGAGGCAGAAACACACATGGTTAGTGATGGGCACTGCCTCCCAGGGTCTCTCCCTTCCACCTATGGCCATGCTGACCAGGCCCGAGCATCCTCTAGCCAAGGGACATACCACTGTATCGTGGACCCTCCCACTACAGCCTTTGAGAGCAAGCTCCAGGAGGGGAGGACACTACATCTCCATCTCAAATTACACTCAGCAGCCCTAATGCCCAGCACCAGGAGGCTGCGAAAGGGGCCCAGATGTGCAGGAGACCTCACCTTGTAGCCATTCTGTTCCCCAAAGTTAAAGACCATGGCTCTTCGTTCTCGGGTGGTATTGGTTGCATCAAAAACCTAGGACCAAAGAGGGGTGAGCTCAGGATTCTGGCCCTGGGGAAGCAAAAGGCTGCCCGAGGCTACAGTACAGGCATCCCTGGGGACTGGGCTTCCTGCCAGGGTACCTGCTGCCCCGGCCACCAGCCTGACATGTCTCTAGCAGACGGGCAGGCTCACACAGAGGAATGCAAAGCAGCAGGGCTCTGAACACAGCAGGTGCTCAGGTCATGTATGACCAACCAAGTCCTAGTAGAGCCGGTTAAGCCTGGTACTACGGTTTGAATGTGGTTTCTCTCCTAAGGTTCGTGTTCAAGCTCTCCCAAGAGAGACAGATATAAGTCTGGTCTACCCAGCTCTGTGGTTTCCTATCTCCAGATGTGATCTTTTCCTCCCTCAGTGGCTCTGGCCATGATGCTATTAGATCTTAACAAGGCCTTGGGGGTTGGGTGGAGGTAGGGATGCTCAATCTGGAACTTTCAGCTTTGAAACTGTGAGCTGAATCTGTTCTGTGAGGGCCTGAGACAGGATCTCATATAGTCAGGCTGGCTCTGAACTTACTGTGTAAGACAGATTGGCCTCAAACTCTCAGAATTCTTCCTGCCTATGTTTCTCCAGTGCTGGGACTACAAGTGTGTGCCATCATGCCTAGCCACAAATCTCTTTTTTCTGTTCCTTTTTATTTTTATTACATTTAGAGAGAGCGAGTGTGCGTGTGTGCGCGTATGCGTGTGCGTGTGTGTATGTGTGTGTGTGTGTGTGTGTGTGTGTGCGTGCGTGCGTGCGTGCGTGCGCGTGTGTCCAAGCCAGGTGCCCTGAGTTCAATACCTGAGACTGACATGATAGAAGGAAAACCAGCTCTTGCCAGTTGCCTCTGACCCTGGACAGCTGTGGCACACTCCCACACATGTGCACAGAAAAAAGAAATGTTTAAAAAATATATTTTAAAAAACATTGGGAATGTTTCCCTTGAATCAAAAACAAAAACAAAAAAAAGACAGAAAAGAGTTTTTTGTTGTTGTTGTTGTTATTTTTCTTTTTAGGTTTTTCAAGACAGGGTTTCTCTGTGTAGCTCTGTAGACCAGGCTAGCCTCAAACTCACAGAGATCTACCTGACTCTGCCTCCTGAGTGCTGGGACAAAAAAAAAAGTGTGGTTAGGGTCGGCCTGGTCTATAGGGTAAGTTCCAGGGCTACAGGGCTACACAGAGAAACCCTGTCTCAAAACAATAAATAAATAAACAATTGGTGCCACTAAGAATTCTAGAAAAGGCAGCTAAGAAAATGGGAAGTACAGGGAGGTTGAGTTGCCAGAAAGTGGTAGAGGTGGTTTATTAAGAAATAATTTTTGAAGCCGGGCGTTGGTGGTGCACGCCTTTAGTCCCAGCCCTCCGGAGGCAGAGGCAGGCAGATCTCTGTGAGTCAGTGGCCAGCCTGGTCTACAGAGTGAGTTCCAGGATAGCAAAAGCTGTATCATGAGGCCTTGTTTTGGAAAAAAACACCAACCAAACAAAAAGAGGTACTTCTTCTGTCAGGCAAGGCCTCAACCCAAGTTTTCCTCAGCACTTTTTTTTTTTTGTTGTTTAGAAGTGGGTCTCAGCTGACCTACAACTCCCTAGACAGCCAAGGATGTTCTGACTCTCCTGTCTCTGCCACCATAGTATTGGAACTACAGGCTGGCACTGGCTCACTCAGTTTATTCTGCGCAGAGGTCAAATCCTAGTTTTCCTGCCTGCTAGGCCGGCCCTCCTCACTGAGCGGCGTCTCCAGCCACTTTACTGAAGAAAACACACCTGTGGGGTTCACTTCAATAAAAGAGGTCAGCAAAGCAAAGTGAAGGGGACCAGGTCACAGGACCAGAACAGGTGCTTGTCCCAGGAGAGAGGAGAAAGGAGCCTGTGGAGTGTTGGCAGTGCCAGCGCCATGAATGCAGACAGAGCTCCCAGGAGGCACGACTCAAGAGGAAAGTGCTAAGGAGGAGATAGCCCCAGTGGTGGGTGATAGCCCTTCCTCACAGTGTCAGGGCACACTGCCCAGTCACACATGTCACGTGACTGCAGGGGTCACACTCCAGGAGGATTTCCTCACCTGGACTCAGCTGCTTTCTGAAATCACTAACTATGGGCAGGGCAGGACTCCCTGTGCCAGGAGACCAGTCATATGTGTGAAAGACTGAGGTAAGCTGCCGGTCCTAACTTCTAGAGGAGGAACCGCAGAGTTAAATGCAAATACACACCCGGGGAACATCTGGCCCACACACTTCCTTCTGCATCGCTTCTGCATGTTTATCCCTCTGGCTGGCACCCTCGGGCATTCAGGGGCACAGGGTGGTGGTGAGGAATCCTATGTCTCACTCTCGGCTGTTTCTAGGGTGTCACACTCACCGCCACATGTCCCCCTTCCTCACTGAGGAACTTCCGGACGTCAGAGAGGGCTGTCAGGGCACACTGCCTTCAGGAGAGAAGACACAGAGTCAGCCTAGCGTCCAGCCTTTAGCCCTACCACAGACAGGACGGGTCAGTCCTCGGGTCTGCTCCCTTTGCAAGGTTTCCCTCCTGCTGGCTAACCGTCAGCGTCTGGCTGTCACAGGATGGAAGACTGCGTGTCCCTGGGTATCAGGTCCTGTGAATGTTATTCTCTGCATTCCCCTCATCTCCTCATCACGGCACCGCTGCCACTTTGCCATGCTCATGACTCCTAAACGATTATCAAGATAAGTGCTTTTCTTTAATTTTTGGCTTACTTATCTTATTTTGTGTATATGAGTGTTTTGCCTGTATGATGTACACCATGTGTGCCTGATGCCCTCAGAGGTCAGAAGAGGGTGTTGGATCCCCTGGAACTGGAGTCAGAGACGACTGTGAGCCACTATATGGATGCTGGGAATAGAACTCAGGTTCTCTGCAACTGCAGCAAGTGCTGTTAACCACACGGCCATTTCTCCAGCCCCAAGATAAGTACTTTTCAATCCGACATTCTCTGTGTACCTCAGGCTGGAGCAGCAAGGGAGGACACAAAGGCAGGATCCTACCCTGGAGGAGAGAATTCCACAGACCACCTCCTACTGAATAACACTACACTGAGATGTCGCATTTGCTATAAAATGAACTGACACATGTAGTGACCATTCTCACTTTGTCCATTTCTCCCAAAGGTCTGGAGAAACAAAGCTATTTCTAGTTTGTTTTGTGTGAGACAGGGTCTCACCACATAGCACTGGGTGAACCAGACCAAGGCAGCCTTGAACTCACAGAGATCCACCTGACTCTACCTCCCAAGTGCTAGGATTAAAGGAGTGCGCCACCACTGCCCAGCAATAATAATGTTTTTTAAGAAGCTGGAGAGATGGCTCAGTGGTTGAGACACTTGCTGCTCTTGCAGAGGGCCTGGGTTCAATTCCAGCCATCCACATGGAGCTCACAACTGTCCACAACTCCAGTTCTAGGAAATCTAACACCTTCTTCTGACCTCACAGACATCAGGCATACATGTAGTGCACAGACATACATGTGATCAAAACACTCATTAATATAAAATAAATGTTTTTTAAAGTTTTTCTAAATATTTATTTATTCATTTATTTATTTTGTTTTCAAGACAGGGTTTCTCTGTAGCTTTGGAGCCCGTTCTGGAACTCGATCTGTAGACCAGTCTGGCCTCAAACTCACAGAGATTCACCTGCGTCTCCCTCCTGAGTGCTGGGATTAAAAGCATTCACCACCACTATCTGGCAAAAGTTTGTGTTTTTTTTTTTTTAAGTGTTTTTCTTTTGCCAAAAACTCTGAATTCTGAGTCTAGAAAACTAGCATTGCTGGGGCATTTCTTACTACCTGCCTGTAGATCAGCATGTTCAGGGCTAGGATCTTTCGTGAGGACTTCTGATTATGATCTACTGTGTAGGAGGAATCTCAGGACCCCAAAGGAAACAGCAAGAGAACATTCTAGGAGCCTGGGTACACACTCTTGAGTGTGCAAATATACTTGTGTTTGCATGTCTGTGTGTGGGCAGGTCTGCATGAGTGTACTGTACCCAGGTAAGGGCATGGAAGTGTGTGAGAACCCCTTGGACCCATACTAGAGGAACTGAGGGCATCCTGTGCGACTCCAAGGAGATAACTCAGGTGCTGGCTCCTGCTTTCCTCGGGACGCCCTTGCTTTCTGTCACTCTTTTGTAATGAACTTTAGCCATGATGAGTCCTGGGAGTCATCCTTGCAAATCACCAAACCTGAAAGGCAGCCTTAGCGACCCAAGTGCACTTGGTGTATAGATGTATACAAAGGGGTAAGCATGTGTGTGTGTGTGTGTGTGTGTGTGTGTGTGTGTGTGAGAGAGAGAGAGAGAGAGAGAGAGAGAGAGAGAGAGAGAGAGAGAGAGAGAGAGAGAGAGAGAGAGAGAGAGAGAGAGAGAGAGAGCTCATGCATGGTAACAGAATACAGCATGCATGTGCCTGATGGTATGTGTCCATGTGCCTCTACATCTTCATACCTGACTGACACCTCCCTCTTGCCTAGCTTCATGTATCTGAACACTGTATAGGTCTTGAGACCTCAACAATGTGTGTGGGGGGGCTAGGCCTCAAGGAAAGGCAGTCCTTTCTTCCAGACTTCTCGTTTAAGACTTGGGTGGGCACACATAGTGGCAAATACCTGTAATCCCAGCACTTGGAGACAGGAGGATCAGACGTGCAAGTCATTCTTAGCTATGTAGCAAGTTCCTGGCCAGCCTGAGCTGTCATTTATCTCAAAACAAAACAGACAAACAAAAGTCCCTTTTGCTCCTGGGCTGGGGGTGCAGTCCAGTTTATCCCTGGCTCAATCCATGTACTGCAAACAATAACAAACAAAAACAACAAAACTGCACAAATTAGACACTTCTGTTCTTTCATTATTCCAATTACTTAAAAGAAAATCTGGGATGGTCAATGGAAAATAGCCCTGTGGCCAAGTGGCTAGATCCAGGCTTTAGGTGTAAAACAAAACAACAGGAATGTCCCCTCTTCGACCATAGGTCCCTCTGTCCAGCAGGAATGTCCCATCTCCTACCATAGGTCCCTCTGTCCAGCAGGGTGACCTAGGGTTAGTTTCTCCAACCCTTCTGTGTCTGGGCTTTCTACATTTGAATTATTATTTGAATTAATTAATATTTGAATAATTATTCCCCAGATTCTGACCTTTTGGGGTAGCCTGAGTGAAATGGCTGGCAGATTTGGAATACTAACCAATACTATCACTTTCTGAGCAGAGCTCCACCAGTGATCAGACAGATCATTTACCAGGGCCCGCTCTGATTTAGATTTTGCACTGAGACATTCTTTGACGTACTAGCTACGAGATACTTGAGTGAGTGAATGATGGACAGTTTTTGTTGTTATTGTTTGTTTAATTGATTGGTTTTGGGTCTTTGAGGCACAGATTCACGCTGCCCAGGCTGGTTTTACACGGTGTAATGGACTCCTGATCCTCCTGCCTTCACCTCCCAAGTGCTGGGACTGTAAGCGCGGACTACCAAACTCAGCTGTGATGGACATTTTCAGTGGTAAATACTTTAACGTTCACAATTACTCAGCTACTTCAAACGTGAAGTAACCTACACAGAAATGTATGAGGCTCCTGGACTCAGAGCCTCAGTTTCCTTACTTACAAAACGGGGACAGTGGAATTAGACATCAAGCACATGGTAGATTCAAGTATCCATACATCCCCTAGCTTCTAGTTTTACTTAAATGTCAGACTCCCTTTCTGGGTGCCTCAGCCTGGTCTCACCCCTATGACACAAGAGCAGAGGAAGCAAGTTCAAGCGCACAGTGGGGCACTCCTGCCCCCTTGTGGCCAGAGAGGGAAGAGGTAGCCTGGTATCCCTGGTGGTAGCTGCAAATCAGCACCATGGCCTCTATCCCCAGGCTGACTTAACTTGAGGAAGTTAGGAGAGCTAGAGCAGCTTCTGGTATTGTCCTAGCAAGATGGCTGAGGCCAGAGCAAGTCTGTACCACCTTAGGCTGACATGCAGCATGTGGTGGCGTTAGTTTTAACCGTCACCTAGACACCATCTTAGAATTAATTACCTGGAAAGAGACTCAGGGACAGACAGCACAGGTCAGGTGGGCTTGTGGGCATGTGTATGAGGGATTTTGTTTTTTTAAGGATTTATTTTTATGTGCATTGGTGTTTTGCAGGCATGTATGTTTGTGTGAGGGTACCACGTCCCCTGGAACTGGAGTCACAGACACTTGTGAGCTGCCATTTGGGTGCTGGGAATTGAACCTGGGTCCTCTGGAAGAGCATACAGTGCTCTTAACCAGAAAGCCATCTCTTCAGCCTCTGAATTTTTTTGCATTAGGTTCATTGAAGTGGGAAGACCCACCTTGAACATATGGGTGACACTTTCGTGGCCTGGTCCCTGAACTGTATGAGAGTGAAAGCCAAGCTGGGCACACACTTATATCTCTCAGCTCCACTGTAGAGGTGACCAGCTGCTGCAAGCTCCTGCTTTGTCTTCCCTCAGACAAACCAAACAGGCTTTTCTCCCCTACGCTTTTTGTTGGGTGTTTTTGTCTATTGTTTTATCAGAAGTAAAGACAGGATAAGGCTTAGTTTTGTTGTTGTTGTTGTTTGAGACAGGGACTCACATGTAGCCCTGGATATCCTGGAACTCACTATGCAGACCACGCTGTCCTAGAACTCACAGAGACCTGTTTGCATCTGTCTCCCAATCGATGAGATTAAAGATGTGTACCACCAGGCCTTGACAACCCCACAAATCCCTTCTCAAAAAGTTCAAGTATGAATCGTGAGGGTGACAGAGATCATATGAAAATTTCTATCTCATGAGTGTCAATTTCTTACTCCACAGCATCCAAGCCATGTTAAACCAAAACCAATGTACATGCCAAGAACATGCCAAGCACATAGCAAACATATTCCAATATTCATGAGAGTGCTATCCTGGGGCAGAAGAGGAAATAACATGCATCTTCTACAGCAGCCTGGAGTAAACAAAAGCAGTGCCTCCAGGCCATACAATGACCACTGACCTGTCCTGCCTAAGCCTCTCCTCTCACTGAAGCTTCATCCTCCCTTCCCGTAGAATTGCCTTACCAAGGGCTCTTAATACCAGGGAGAGATGGAACAGCCATTAGGAGGCTACGCACAACTTCTCCCTAAACCTTTTCACAACCTGAGAGGTTAAGAAGCCAGATCAAGAGCTGGGTATGGGGGCAAATGCCTTTAATCCCAGAACTCTAGAAACAGAGGCAAGCTAGGGTAATATAGTGAGATACTGTCTCAAAAAAATAAAGAAAAGAAAAAACAAAGATGACAATTCCTTCAGTCACTCATCATGGAGTCAGCCCTGTCAGTCAGTCAGCATCAGACTGTGCTGTGGGAGCTCAGCAGCAGCTCAAGTAACTGATGGTAACTAGGCTCCACACGCCTTCTCCACAGGAATGCCCTACCCCAACCTTCACCACACTTACTTCCTGATTTTCAGGCCTTCTTCATTGTCTGGGAGGAAAAATTCAAAAGATTTGTATGTCTTGACCGTGTCCCGGCGATACTGGCCAACGTTGAATTCTAGGGGTAGAAGACGCTTAGCTTTCCCCTGACAGCAACCCCACCAACCCTTCCCAGAACCCCTCCCCAGGCCCTGCCACCACCAGCCTTCTCCTCCCTCCCGTGACCCCCTGGGGCCTCACCCCGAGTAGGCACACCAATCCAGTTGAGGTACCGGGTCAGCTTCTTAGAGATATAGGTCTTGCCCCTGGCTGGCAGGCCCACCATGACAATGAGCGTCGGGCAGTTGGTCATGCAAACTGGAAGGGAAGCAGCACGGGACAGTTAGTCTGGGTTCTCCTCGTGATGGGATCTGGAATCACCATGGTCTATGAGAGCGTCCCATTAGGGTAGCTGAGGGAGGAAGGCCGTCTTAATGTGGGCAGCACCATCCGTGGTCTAGGGTCCTGGACTCAGAGAGAGTGAGCAAGTCGAGCATCGTATGCTCTCACCTCTCTGCTTCCTCACCGGGGTGCAAGGTCGCCAGCGACCTCAGGCTCCTGCCTCCTCAGCGCCCTTGCCATCATGAGCTGTCCCCTTCAACTGTGATCCAGAAAAGCCATTTCCTTCCCTAGGTGTCTGTCAGGGACTTTGTCATGGCGACAAGGAGAGTGACTAATTCAAACACTTTATCGCACGCTGCTGGAGCTCCGAGTCTCCCTCTCTCCCAGGGTTTTATCAGACCGCGGGCACGGGAGCAGCACCAGCTGTGCTCTCCTGGCATCAGACACTCTCTAGTACCCCTGGGTCCAGCGTGTGGCCGCCATGTGCCCTGTCCTCACGTCTGTCTGGGTCCTCACGTCTGTCTGGGTCCTGTGTGTGGCTGCCATGTGCCCTGTCCTCACGTCTGTCTGGGTCCAGCGTGTGGCCGCCACGTGCCCTGTCCTCACATCTGTCTGGGTCCTGTGTGTGGCTGCCACGTGCCCTGTCCTCACGTCTGTCTGGCTTCTGGCACCTCACCAGCCCTGCTCATCACAAAGCACACGCATACATGTGAGCACAGCCAGGCCAGCAGCTACACACTCCAGGCGCTTCCTTCTGTCCATGCCTGCCTCTCTCATCTAGGAATCCATACCCTAACCTCTACTTAGCTCCGTTATCTGCCAGCTCCACTGCCTTCAACAAGGAGCTCCTTTCCCAGGGCACCCACATGTGTACCTGGGGCCCCCCACTTGGTCACCTCACTAATGACTGTCATCTCTGAACTGACTGTTTGAGTAGCTATTGTATGTGACTGTCCTCCAAGCCAAGCAGCCACCAACTGCACCCCTTTGCAAAAGCGTTCTCCTGGCTAGGTTTGCTGATTGTTTATTCCCTCATGGAGGGGTGAGTAGGGTCTTGAGACCCTCACCTGAGAATCCAGCTGCTTCCTACACCCATGTAAGTAACCCTCACCTATGTTCTGTAAGGAAGTCCAATAAACTCGTCGGCTCTTCAGACTGAACTTCTGCAGAGCTGTGCCTCAGTGTGCCGCTGGGACCTTGGGGGTAGACCTTGTTTCTGTCTCCCCAGGGAAGGAGTTTTAGCCCGGTATCCCCGCTGCTCGTCTTCCTGCTCTGGCTTGGCACTCACGCTCGGTAATATGAGCAGGGAGGCAACATCAGGGAGAGGACCACAGGAACTGAGAGCCCAACAATAACAGTTCTCCTGACGGTCTGCTCATCACCGTCTCACATGCTACCAAATCAGGTGTCATCCAGAGAGTCTGCCAAAGACCCGTCCACAGCTTCCCTGAGCATCGGCTGCCACCAAAGCAGCAGGACTGTCTGTGACTCAGCTCAGTTTCCAGTGTGGCCAGATGTGGTCCCACCCTAGAAGTCACAGGAGCCTTCCTTTCCATCACCCACAAGACCAGGGCCAGTGAAACCACAGGGGACAGATTGATGAGCGGGTGTGGGGAGCTGGCCCTGTCCTCCTCTGCCCAGACCATTGGGAGCCCCTCCCAGCTGTCTCTCTAGGGACAGCTCTGCCTTTCAGCAGTAAGGCAAGTCTCAGTTTCTACTTTGCTTGTGACACCTTCTGGCAACTCAGAGTCTTGGTGTCGTCACCGGCATGACCTAGCACTTTCCCCATGGAAAAGCTGGGGCACTTCTGGGGAGCTGCGCCCTTTGCCTTGCCCCGGCAGCACCCTGGACGACAGACACAGGTGTACTTCAGCCCCGACTGCACTTAGGACTTGGGATGTAGGTAGTGTCACTCCTGTGCGTCATCCAAACTGTGAACTCCAGGGGAGGGGAGAAGGGGACCTGGGCTAAGGAAGAGTGAGGCCACTTGCAGAATAACCTAAGTATTGGCTAAGGCGAGAGGAAACCGAGTTAAGCAAGGCCCGGCCTCCTCAGGGCCAGAAGACTGCTCAAGTCTGTTGTTTGCATAATTCCTGCCCTGGATGACCAGGAGCTCTGAAGCAATTTAAAGAGAGTACATCAGCCATTTACTATGGCAACCATCCGCTCATCCCTGCCCATCCTTGCCCTTCCTGGTGAGCCTCACCCCCCCCACACACACAGTCACTGCTCTTTCAGCGCTCATGATTTCAAGATCCAGGTACTGTACCTACTCTTCACATCCGTTTTGCTCAGGGTGACTATTGCTATGATGAAGCACCATGAATAAAGCAGCTTGGGGAGGAAAGGGTTTATTCAGGTTACACTTCCACACCACTGTTCATCACTGAAGGAAGTCAGGGTAGGAGCTCACACAGGGCAGGAATCTAAAGGACAAAGTTGGAGCACAGGCCACGGAAGGCTGCTCCTTATTTTCTTGGACATTATAGCTTGCTCAGCCTGCTCTCTTATAGAGCTCAGGACCCACAATGGATGGGCCCTCTGCCATCAATCACTAAGCAAATGTCCTACAGGCTTGCCTGCAGCCAGATCTTCTGGAGACATTTTCTCCCTTGAGGTCCCCTCCAATCTGATGACTCTAGCTTGCGTCAAGTTGACATACAACTGGACAGCACAACATCTACTTGCCCAGAGCAGACCTGGGCCCCCCTTATAGCCACAGCCTCCTCCCAAGTCCCTGGTGACAGCTCCCTCTTCCCCACTCCCATTGATATGAGGGTGGGCAGTCGGGAGCAGACTGGATCTGGGCACAAAACAAGGCAATAAATTAGTGATCACCTCTGCTCCTCAAGATAAGCTCTGAAGAAATAACTCAAAGCAAACCAAAGTTCAAGAACATTCGAGGCAGCTTTGCTTACAACAGCATGATGTGGAGATAATCCCTAGAGGGGAGAAATTAGAGACAAAGGCAGAACAAAGAGGGTTGGTTACACCTCAGACCCTGAGAGTCATGGAGCAGACATGGGGTGTGCAGTCACAACTCCAGCCCTGAGCCCACAAGGGCATCTAGCAGCCAGGACAGCAGGACACACTGTCTCCAACACCAGACACACAGAGAGAAAGCGGTCTGAAGACATGTCAACTCAGCCCTTTCAAGTTCCCTTTTCCACAATTTATTGAAGGCCACAGAGCCCTCGGAGCCCCAGGGCCTGAGACACTGTAGCAGTAGAGAGAACCTTCCAGCCGGCCTACATTCAGCACTTCCACCACAGGCACAGTCAAAGCTCCTGGAGTGGATTCTGGGTAGACTCCTGAATTGATTGTACCTGCTCCCGCCATCTTGGCCAGAATGAGGAAGGAAGAGTTCTTAAAAATTAAGCAATATGGTTGACAGTTCCACTCAGAGGACAGAAGTTATCTCTCCTGTTGCCTTGTGCACACACACAAGTCCTGTCACACAGGAGGAATCATGCCATCCTGTCACCTTTTGGCTGAAAAAAGGCATCAGAAGTCAGACACAGTGGCATACGCCTTTATTCCTGGCACCAAGAGGCAGGCAGATCTCTGTGAGTTGAAGGCCAGCCTGGTCTATAAAGCAAGTTCCAGGACAGCCAGAGCTGTTACACAGAGAAACCCTGTCTTAAAATAAAACAAAAAGCACTTGCCCTTGCAGAAGTCCAGGGTTTGAGTCCCAGCACCCATACAGAGGATCACAAGGGTCCATGACTCCAGTCCCAGAGATCTGATGCCTTCTTCTCACCTCTAAGGACATCAGACACATACATAGAGCACAGACACACATGAAAGCAAAATACTCATACACATAAAGTAAGTAAATAAATACAAAAACTTCAAAAAAGAGGAAAATGATATCCTGTCACCCAGGAGGCAGAGGCAAGAGGGCCATCCAGGAGGTCAGCAGGCCTGCATAGTGGGTTCCTAGCCATCCAGAGCCTGCTCCAGGAGACTACATTCTCAAAAACAAACAAAAGAAAAACAATGTCCCACCTGCCATGGTCCTGGGCCCCTCCTCATCCCCTGTTCCATCTCCCCTGAGCTCTTACAGCTCTAAGCTAGGCTCATAATGGTAGGGAAGGTTTACAGCTCCCAGACATGGTAGATGTGGCTCTGAAATTTATAAATCACCAAATTTTATCAACTGCTCATGGTGTTTGAGGTGGGGAACATGGCCAGGGGACTAGAGGCCAGAGGAAACCTACAGCCAGCCCAGAGAGCTGAGGGCACTGCTTCTCCCTTCCCATAAGGCCCTGTGGTGAGGCCAACCTTCCCCAGCCTACGTCAGGTCTTCACTGTGCTTACGTCCTGCAACCTGGCAGAAGCTCACTGTGCAGAGAGTAGAATGCTGCACAGGTGCGTGACCTGTGACCTCTGTGACCTCTGTGACCTATGGCTGGGGCCCAGACTGCCATCCCCAGGCACAGATCCAAAAGCTTCATCTTTGGCCATGTCACCCCAGAAAAGCATGGTCTACAACTTAGACTATTCCAACGCTCTGACACCGACAAGCCATTCACTTATACAAGAGCCACTTTTTTTTTTTTTTTTTTTTTTTTTGGTTTTTCAAGCAGGGTTTCTCTGTGTTGTTTTGGAGATTGTCCTGGAACTCGCTCGGTAGACCAGGCTGGCCTTGAACTCACAGCGATCCGCCTGCCTCTGCCTCCCAAGTGCTGGGATTAAAGGCGTGCGCCACCAACGCCCAGCCAAAAGCCACTTTTGTTTGTTTGTTTTTTGTTTTTCTAGACAGGGTTTCTGCGTGTAGCCCTGGCTATCCTGGAACTCACTCTGTAGATCAGGATGGCTGCACTCAAAGACCCACCTGCCTCTGCCTCTCCGGGATTAAAGGCATGCGCCATGACTGCCTGGCACAAGGAGCACATTTTAACCCTACACTTAGAGCTTAGAAGGGACATACAGGTCCTGCCTCAGAAGCAGATACCTGAGCAGGTCCCTCCTCTGCGGGCCTCAGCTCCCTTCCACCTCTAATGAGGGGGTGCCTCAGGCTGACACCTTAATCCCCACTCTGAACAGTGAGAGATTGGTGGGAAGACTGCTTCTGCTTTTCTTTCTTTCCTTTCCTTTTGCTTTTTGTTTGTTTGTTTGTTTTGTAGCTCTGACTGCCCCGGTACTCACTAAGCAGACCAGGCTGGCCTGAGACTCACAGAGATCCTCCTGTGCCTGCCTCCTGAGTGCTACGATCAAAAGTTTGCACCAACATGCTCAGCCTGACCCCACTTTTCAAGCATCCGCTCATCAGAGGTAAAGACGATAATGGTGTGTCATCCTAGGGTTGGGGTCTAGAGCTTTGCTCCTTGCCCCAAGATCACAGAGCTGGTCCAGGATGCCGCTTCAGTGCTCCTAGCTCCAAAGTCCAGTTTCCTACTCCTCCCGTAACAGGTGCAGCCACCCCTTCATCCTGTCCCCCCAGCCCCCCACCCCCCTCCACCACTCCCCAGCCCCCACCCCCACCACCCCGGGCAGGACCACAGTACTAATAAAGGCTGGTGAGGAGCTGCCTTAATGCTTCCAAAAGAACGGCTGGCCTGTCTCCACAGTCCCTGGAGACTCAGAATGTGTCTGGACGGCCGTAGCTCTGCCAGTACCCATACTGTGGTCAGAGCCACCACCCACAGGAACACAGTCTGCTTATGAACCTCGGCCATCCTACCAGGACCCAAGTGTGATCACATATGCCTTCCCACCCCCACTCTTCCAGGACTCTCATCAGGGTAAAGGTCAAAGCCATGGCCTCAGACTGACCTTGGCAACAGAAGGCCAAAGGACCCTCCCCTCCCTTATCACACACAGCAGCCTTCAGGAATGCAAGGAGACCCTGGCACATCACACAACAGCCTCGTCTCCATTTCCATATCTGCACCACCAACGGACTAGATGTTCTCTGAGGTCTTTGCCAAGCTGCAAATTCATTACAATATTTGAATTACTCCTAAAACAATTTTTTCCTTTTCCCTGTTAATAAAACAAAACACAGACTCGTTTAAGAACAAACAGAAGAACCAAGGAAGTAGATGAAAACACCCAGGATCCCAGAAGAGGTGAGTCACTTAGTAATTCACAAATTTCAGCAGATCTCCATGTTCACCCTCCTGCGCAGTCATTTACCTATGAACTCATGTGAGTGCTTCCGTGTCCAGGGGCACAGAGCTGGTCCACATGGCATGCGGTTCCCATTGACCCAATCCTGACAACTGTACTCCCTTGAAGTTCCTCCCAAAACTTTGGTTTTAAGACCAAGAAGTACTCGTCTTGCTGGGGACTACTAGCCATGGTTAGATTTTCAAAAGTTACGGCTCGGAGATGCCAAGTGCCTTGTCTAGAGCCACACAGCTCTGCTTCCAGCCAGAGTACCTGGAAGCCCACCCTGGGGCCAGGAGAGAGGAACCAACGGTACCACGACCACGAAGTCCTCCCCTATATCCAGGCACTGGGAACAGCGTGGGTCAGTACCCTCCCAGTCTCCAACAAACGGAGATGTTTGCTCACACCTGTCTCCACTCCTGCTCCACCACGCTTCGCTTCTGCGGGCCACTGTCACCAGCACCTCACCTGTTCCCGAGTCACAACAGCCTTGCCTTGCCTGTTTCTCTACCTGCCTCCTGCTTTCCCACTGGAGACCCTCACCCAAGGCCGTCTACCCACCCGTGGGGTTCATCTCCCTCCTCCTCTCCCTGCGGAGCCCGTCTTACCACCACGCTGGCTGGCGTGCAGAGCGGGCCGCCCATTGCTGTACGGCATCCAGATCTTCTTCAGGGGATTCTGGGTCAATTCCCGTGGGGACGCCATCCCCCGGCCGGGATGAATCGGACTGCGCTGCTTCGCACCCAGCAACCAGGCCACCTCGGGCCATCCAAGGTCCCGCCCCTCGGGCCCCGCCCCTCCTCTAGCGGCTTCAACTCCTGTCCATCTTCCCGCAAGCCCGCCCCAGTATTATTAGGCTCCACCCAAACTGAAGAGGTACTGGTTTACGACTACGCATGCCCAGTTTTCCTATCTCCTCTTTTTGGAGTAAGCATGCCCAGTCCTCCAAACCCAGGCTAATAACGCGCATGCTCAATTTCCAAAGCCTTTGACACCCTGATTATGTAGGCCCCGCCCCGGATGTGAAGTTTGCAGCTCTCAAGCAGTTTGTTATTTGCATAACCCCGCCCACGCCCCGTTTAGGGCTCTACAGCCCCTCCTCCAAAACGTGTGCTGCTTCTGCTCCCTGCAGAACGTGACCTCACGGTCGCCTGGTGAGAAGGGTGTGAGGAGGCTGGGCGGGGCCTGCATGACCCTCAGAGCCAGGATAGTCTAGACCAGCTTGGCTGTTGTCCCTGAGTGGCTCTAATGACTGGCCTGCTGTCCTGGCAGTCAACCTCCGCTGCGCCCTCCTGGACCTTCCGGGGCCTCCTCAGCTGCTCCCACCCTCGGAACTTCCCCGGTCTACAAGAACAACTTGTTCAACCACGCAGAAGAAGTTCCCTTATCTCAGGGACAGGAACACAGGATATATCTCAAAATCCAGCAGATTTGGCATTGCTCCTGGGGAACAACCTCTGCCCACCTGGAACAAATGTATGATCAAGTCATTTGGGGACACAATAAGCTCTGGCAGTATTTTGATTCTCTTCCCAGGATTTTGCATTTTACCAATTATAATTTTGTTGTATTTTCTTTCTTTGTGGGGGAGAAAGGTCACAGTCTCTTGTAGCCTAGGCTGGCCTGGAACTCAGTATGTAGCTCAAGATTCAAGATAACCTCCCAAGTTTTTTTTTTTTTTTTTCGAGACAGGGTTTCTCTGTGGCTTTGGAGGCTGTCCTGGAACTCGCTCTTGTAGACCAGGCTGGCCTTGAACTCACAGAGATCCGCCTGCCTCTGCCTCCCGAGTGCTGGGATTAAAGGCGTGCGCCACCACCGCCCGGCTCCAAGTTCTGTTGTTGCTGCACAATGTTTATACAGGGCAGGGAATCGAACCCAGGGCTTTGTGCTTGCTAGGCAAACACCCCACCAACTGGGCTACACTTCCAGCCCCAATTATAGTTTTAATAGTGAGTTTATGTAGTTTTTCAATGAGTTTCTGCCTCTCCATCAGGAAAATGAGATGCAGACATCATCAATTTTACAAGATTGTGGTACAGATTAAATGTATCAGTGTCAGAAATCTGTTCCCATAACATGTAGGCATTCTCATCCATTATATTATCTCCCTCCCTGCCTTGAAAATGTACTGAGGGCAGAGGCAGAGGCAGAGGCAGGTGGATCTCTGTGAGTTCAAGGCCAGCCTGGTCTACAGAGTGAGCTCCAGGACAGGTTCCAGAGCAATACAGAGAAACGCTGTAGGGTCAGGCCTTGTAGCTCAGGCTTAAAGGCTAAAGCGGTACCATATGTAAAACTCCCCAAACTGAGTGACGCCCCCCCCATGAACATGACCCCTTGGAGGCTGGTGAGGGGCAGTGTGGAGAAGCCACTCTTCTGTGTTTGACCTCCACCACAGCCTCCCGAAAGCTCAGGCCTCTTCTATCTGCCCAGGCCCATCTCTCCAAGCTGTACACTTGCTGCTCCAGGTCCCGGCAGCAGAGCTTGTGTCTCTGCCTTGCTGCCCTGTAGTGATGGCCATCACACCCCTGGCAGGTTTCCTGCCTCAAGCTCTCTGTCTCACAGGTGCCCAGCCTGAAGCTAGGCACCTGAAAAACAAGGCTGGTGTTGTTCACAGTCAGTGCGGCATACCCCGCTGTCACACCTCAGCCTGAGAGTCTGACAAAGCCCCTTACGATGACTGTGACAGGGACAGCTTAACCATCACACCAGGAAACAGAAGCTCAGAGGCCCACCTGGAGCCTCCGCATACCAGCTGTAGCTGGCTACTTTGGGAAATACCCTGCTCCAGGCAGGTGGCTCATTTCCTCATTCTCCTGCTGCAGCATCCTCCCTGCATCCCAGAGGGAGGTGGGCAGCCTGGAGCACATCCACAGATGGCTCCTCACAAGCAGGGCTCCTCTTGTGAACATCAGCAGCACCGGCTTCTCCAAAGCCACTCCTTCTGTTTCTGCTTGTGTCCTGGCCATGGCCAAGGTCACCTTGGGACTACATTTGGCCTCAGAGACCTCACTGCCGTTCCTTGTGCACTTATCACAGAGTCACCTCTAACATCATGGGTCCCCAGCACCTCATCGGGCCCATGCATTCTTTCCCCCAGAACTCCTGGATGTTACTTAGGAGCTGGTGGCCAGGGCAGAGTGGCGCAGGGCAGGGCAAGTGGCCAAAGCCATCTCTCTCCACACCCAGTGTGAGCCTGGTTTCAGGAAATGTGGCTCTATACCTCCCACTCTTCTTGGCTCACCCTGGGCTGACCCAGACACACCCTCTCAGGTCCATATATCCAGTTAGGAAGCCACAGGTCACCATGATGAACTTGGGCAGCCTTCCCAATGCCAGGGTCTACAACTGTTCAGACGACTACTCCCCATGTCCCCTTCCAAGGCCTCATTTCTTAGGGAAGGAACTGAGGACGCAGACAGGGAAGAAACAAGGTAACGGAGGGCTCAGCCCATCTGCGAGCCTTCACACTTCACCCCTACAGTTTGCTTCATGGCCTCATTCCTCACACCTAGGCTTTTGCTTGCTCCCTCCAATGAATGCCTTCCAAGCTTTCTGCTCCCCAACACCAGCAGATGTTCAATAGACTAACTAACCCTGTGGCTTTTCCCTCTTGAGGGAATCTCACAGTGTCCAAAGCGCCCTGTCCCATGCACGGGAAGTGCTGGGTTGCCCTTGTATATTCATGTATGAATGTGGCCAACTCAGCCTTCTCTACCATGAACTTAACTGGCCCGACCCTGCTTGGCTTCCTGGTCACCTTATGTCCTGACCAACGGACCTCCTTCTAGTGTCCCAGTTATAGAAGTGATTTGATCAAAGTCCTCAACCCTCAGTACTCAAGGCTCAAACTCTTCCCACTGTCTTCTGCCTAATCCTGGCCGAAACAAAGAGCCACCATTTACAGCATAAAGATCCGGGGGGCCTCAGCCCTGCCACACGTATGCACACGAACATGCTCACACATACTCACGGAAGTACAAATATTAATAGTCCTGCTGCCCTGCTCGTCTCTTCCTCTTTATTCCATGACCAGATGCTGCTTTGCTGGGTGCGGGGAGTTGCCAGGAATCCCAGCTTCCTCTGGCTATTTCCAAGAACTGTCCCCAGCATCCTTCTGGGCCTCATACTGTGAGGTTCCAGTTTGGGGGTATCCAGCCATGTGAGTGGCAGCCTGTGAACCTTCATCTACTTCCTGCTTCTAGCCTGGCACAGGGCACACAGTAGGTGCTGCCAAGTGGCTCAGAGCTAGCCAAGGTACAGAAACTGCTCAGAGAGGCTTATGGAAAAGACAGTACACAGTAGGTGTGTAGAGAAAGTCAGGGCCAGCACGGGGCACACAGTGGGTGCCCTAAAAACCCAAGAGTAAAGGCTAAGATGGCACTATATGAAAAACTTCCCAAACCAGGTGACCCTGATGAACAAGACCCCTTGGAGGCCAGCAAGGGACATATTTTGGGGAGTGACTCAGGCAGCTCCAGCTGACTGGCCCTCCCCCCCTGGCTGAAGGAAGACACTATTTATAGTCATCCCACCTTGGTCCAGGCCCCTCTTTCCAACAAGGCCCCAGTTTTTCGTCCCTTCAGGCCACTGACAGATTGATGCCCTCTGAGAGCACTCTGAGACCCCCAACACCCTCAGGCTCCCTCCAACACCGTCTTCATTGCACCCAGGTCTTTTCTCAATCCCCATCGTCCCCAAGCTACCCGGTGCCTACCCTGCCCGTCGCTCTCCCGCCCAGGGTCGACCAGAAAGGTGCCTCCTAAAGTACCTCTGTCCATACTGCCACCGAACTGGCCAGAGCCGCCGCCCCCCCACCCCACCCCCGCGTCTCGGCGAGGGTAAGGAAACCCCGCCCCCCGCAGGCTCAGAGGAAAATAGCCCCGCCTCTCCAACCGTTCCAGACCCGCCCCCCCAGGGCTGCTTGGCTGCGTGAGGTTGCCAGGCCCCCATCCAGGCAGGCAGCTGCACTCTGCGCTTGGGCGGGCCGGTAGCGCGTTTTTCCAGTCCGAGCTGCCGGTAACGCTCAGGGTCTGGTCTTCTCCAGTTGTCTGCACCACTGAGAGCTCCTGCCTCATCCACAGGCAAACAGGCTCACACGCCCCAAAAGTCAGTCTCTCCAGTCCAACTATGGAAGGGGCATGTAAAGAAGGTGAAGCCTACTCTTTTCACAGTGAGCAGGTCGGAGGGGAGGGAGGGAAGGTGAATGAAGGGCGGAAAAGCCAGGTGTGACTCAGCCCTCATGTGTCACTGCCTGGGCGCACATGACTGGGTGACTCGTGCATCCTATCCTTCAATCATCCGACGTTTATTGAGCGCCTCCTGCAGCCACAACTTTCATGTACACCATGTCACTCCGTGCTGCAGGAAGCTTGGTGGCATCACTCTGCTTTACAGCTGAGGAAGTTGGGGCTCAGAAAACGTAAACAGCTTTGCTTAGGACAATTCATCCAGGAAAGCATAGGCTGGCTTGGAGCTCCGGCAATATCCACTCCCTTCCCCAAGCCACATGTGTCCACACATCTGGCAGGGTACGGCTAGGACAATGCTTGGCTGGGTATTGATTGTGGATTTGGGAGTCAGACACCCTCTTCTTCCAGTCCTTCTCACACACAATTGACAGAGATTTATAGCAGGCAGAGACTCAGCATGTACACACACACACACACACACACACACACACACACACACACACGCACGCACGCACACACGCACACATGCACGCACCGAGGGAGACACATGCTGTCTACTCTGTCCCAGAGCCAGCGGGGACCTTCTCACAGCATGCCCCACCCTGTGTCTGCCTGGAGATGTCTCTGATAACCACATCCAACTAAGTTTGCCTGACAGCACAAAACAAGCATGCCATCAGACATGGTGGTACATGCTTGTAATCCTAGCACTCAGGGGGCAGAGGCAGGAGGATTGCTATAAGCTTGAAACCAGCCTGGTCACATAGCACTCGGGAGGCAAAGGCAGGCAGATCTCTGTGAGTTCCAGATCAGCCTGGTCTACAGATCGAGTTCTAGGACAGGCTCCAAAGCAATACAGAGAAACCCTGTCTTGAAAAACAAAAACACAAAACAAGCATTTGTCCCTGGCCAGCACTCTGCTGCAGTGGCCTCAGGTCAGGGCCGGGCCTAGGAGCCTTAGATGGATCTCGGGTGCAGCACTAGGATTCTCTCCTTGCCATTTAATGATGGAGCTCTCGTGGTGGTATCTTGATGCTCTGTGCCTGCCAGGCACAGCCCAGCATGACAAGATTCCATATTGCAAGCATACATGCCAGTGTGAAGGGCACAGAAACATGGTAGCACACGCTATGGCCAAGCTGTCTAAAACAATGTGGACAGTCAGAAGCTATGGCAGGGCCCACTATGGTAAAGCCCGGGTATGTGCTCTGTCTAGGTGTAGTACTGTCCAGCTTCGATGCTTTCCTCCAGAATGTCCCAGCCAGGGTCACCCCATCTCTATGACCCCTTCCCTCAGTCTCAGCGGCGGCCCACACGAGCAAGTATTTGGGCATTAGTGGTAGCCTGATCCCTGGTAGCCTTGGTCCGGGCCTGCTCCAGTAAGATCCGCAGGAGGCCGATGGGGACGTCCAGGGAGAGTGTGACACGCGTGTCCAGGTGAGGTTTAGGTTTGGAGTAGCTCCAAGAAGCTGAGGGCCCTGTGGTAGCAGCTGAGTGGTTCTCCAAGGTCCCAGAGTGGGGAAGAGTCTCCGAATAGTTCTGAGGGAGGAGCTGGAAGGTGGGGGTAGGGCTCCCTGGGACAAACAGGACCCTGCCCAGTATCAGGACTGTGAGCACCGCCAGTGGCCACCTGGCCATCATGCTGTAAGGAGGGAACAGGCTCAGGGTCCGCATGCTGCAAATGCGGCTCATTGAAAGGAGAAAGACTGCAAGAGGCAAGGGACAAAGAAGGCTGGGAGATTACAGAGGCCGGGGACAGAGACACAGAGACAGAGCCAAAGAGACAAGAAGGAAGCCAAGACAGGAGCCAGAGGGAAAGAATGAAAATGTGTGCTGAAATACCGTGGCGAATGTCTAGAATCCCAGCACCTGGGAGGCTGAGGCAAGATCCAAATTTGAAGCCAGACTGGGTTACATAATGAGACCCTGTCTAAGAACTGCAAAGACACCAGAATGAGAACTGGGGGAAGCTAAGGACAAGGATACTCAGAGGCAGAAAGAAAGGGACTGGCGGGGGGGGGCAGAGGCGGAAGAGCAGAAGATGAATGGGGCGCGGACAACGCAAGATGGTAAGGAAAAGAAAGAAGACAAGGCAGAAAGAGACAGAAACCGTCCAGAGCCACCTAGATGCAAAGAAAGACTCAGAAACAGAGAAAGCCTGCAGTGACAAAATGGAGACAACTTCCGAGCAGCATGGCTGATGAGGAAGGTCAGCAATGGGGACAGAGGGGGACAAGTGAAGCAGAGCAACCAGAGACCCCAAAGCCTCCCAGGTCCAGACATCTCCACTCACCCAAACCCCAGACCCTTCCCATCCCCACCCAATGCCGGTCATACCACTGCCAGCTTCCTGGGGGACTGCCGGGGAACGCTGGAGCTGCTGGGGCTGGGGCCAGGCTACGCTGGCCTCCCACCTGACCCTTTTCAAGTCCCATTTATCTCCCCCAGCCTCCTGGGTAGGAGCTAGGGCATGTTTCCTGGCATGAGGCCGTTCCCCACCTCTGACTCACCCCCTCCTAGGGAGCAGTAAGCACACTTCCTTAGCCCCCACTGTATTTACTTCTGGGGAGGGTGGGGGAATTTAGGAAAATAAGAACACAGAAAATAACCAGGACCCGGTATGAGGACTCTATACCATGCAATATAATGCAGACTACCCTCCCCCACAAGGGAAGTTTGCCTCCTGATAGCCCCATCTCACCCAAAAAAAATCAACAACAAGGGCCTTTTAAAACAGCAGCTTTAATGCTCTCCCCCCGAAACAGCACCATGGCATCACAGCCTTGGGTCAAGGGGCAAGTTGGACACCAGTCACATCCATTCACTGCCCACAACCATCCCCAACGAGTGAGTCATCTGCCAGGAAAGCCGGCACCACAATGGGGATCTGTCCACAAGAGGGAAGGCTAGACCCGCAGGACCAAGTCACTGAAATAATGGACACACACACACACACACACGCTCACGGGCATGCAGAACTCTAGCACCAAACGGAGAACGGCAGGGCCCCGCTGAGCCCCACCACCTCCAGGAACTGCTGACCATCTAGTGTATCATCCAGGCCTCAGCCTTAGGCAGCACCTACGTGGAATACATCAGAAAACATTCAGCCCTCTGACCTCTTCTCCCAACATAAAATCTGCACAGAAACATGGCAAAGTATCCATGAGAGTTGAGTGTGGGTTCTGATTCAGAGAGGGGACCCTTAGCAAAAAGGAGCACAGAGAGGCACCATGCAGGTTCCACAGCTGGGGCTAGGTAACCACTTCTTTGACGTGGAATCTACCCCAGGGACTTCTCACCCAGGCACTGATATATGTAGGGGTAGCCTTCACTGAGAGAATCTAGCCCTTACCTGTTCTCTGGCCATGGACCACTTGGGGTGGGCAGCGGCGCTCACATGCCTCACGGGTTCCAAAACGGTTGGCGTTCCCTCCGCAGCCACCATAGACAAAGGGATGACAGGCTGTGCCACCAGGCACAGCCCGATGGTACCAGCGCAGGGTGTAAGCAGTACAGGAGCCCTCATCCAGTGGTAGGGAGCAGGGGTCTACGGTCATTGGTGGTTAGGTCATTGGGGATAGTGGAGATCAGAGAATCAGCAAAAGATCAGCAATGGCCTTCATCTGTCACTACCTGAACCTCTCTGGTCCCAGCCCTTGATAGCCCCATCGCCATCCCAAGGAACTTCAGGGTCTTGGTAGTCCTCCACAGAATACACAGAGTACTCAGAGAAGTCATCGTCATCTTCAGGGGGTATCTGGCCTGCAGGCAGGGTGGGGTATGCTGTGAGAAGGTCCCGGCTGGCTCTGGGACAAAGTAGACAGCATGTGTCTCCCGTGTGTGTGTGTGTGTGTGTGTGTGTGTGTGTGCGCGCGCGCGCGCGTGACCCGTGTGTAGACTTTATATATGTCCAGTGTACTCTGATGCATGAATACCTGTGTGCATATTTGTACCCAATCTGTCCATGCCCCACGGATTGTCAGCCTCACCTTCCTCCTCTACATGAGACACCCGGAGCACAGGCACATGTTGGAGCTGGGGACCAGCCGTATCTGCAGCATAGCTGGGGAGGGGTCCTGGAGCACAGGGCAGGTGATGACACCCTTGGTTATCATGGTCAGCCACCCCAGCCACACCCCTGCTGAGAGGACCCGGCACAGTCAGTGCCTTAGATGAAGAAAGTTCTAGATAAAGAAAAGCTACTCACGTGATCCAGACGCAATAAACTGCCCCTGGCAGGCTGGAGGGGACAGGAAAAGGTAGAATGAGGCCACGGGAAGCGGAGAACAAGAGTCAAAGAAAAAGGTGGGAAGACTGAGAAAGAGAAACAGACTAGAGTCACATGCATGAGGGGTAAGTACACAGAGATACAGTAGGAGAGTCAGCGAGAGACGAAGGAGAGAAGAGAGAACGGGTGAGGGGAAGAGGGAAGGAAGGAGAGAGATAGGAAGAAACACAAGGGATGGAATAGAGCAGGGAAACAAGGGCAAAGATTCGAAGCAGGAGACTCAGAGATGGAAACAGTCACAACAGGAAACAGGGCCCCCAGAATCATCAGCCCCCACCTTTGCCGCAGCTGCGAGGACAGCTCTGCTCCCGCTATGCCCCCAAGTACAGCTAGCCGCCAGAACACCATGCAGCCCCCCCACATCTGTCTCTCTCCCTAAGGGAGTCCTGTCAGCATGCAGCCATCCATCTCTGCTTGCCCTCTCTAAGTGCTGGGAACTTGCCAGCTCCTATCTAGGTGTCCTAGGATGGGGTGGGGGCAGGAGACTGCACATCAGACCCACTCACCACAATGCTGACTCATCTCCTGACGCACAAAGCCCCGAATGTCATCCTCCTGGGAACACAAGACCACAAGGCCCCTGTAGAACCTATGAATCATGGGTCGCATAATACAGGGATCCAGGACTAGTCATATCAAGAGCCCTGGGACCAGGGGGTCAGGGTGCTGGGTGACCCATCCCACCCAGGCCAAACTCACAGTCAGTGCAGCTTCTCCTTTCTCACCACGAGGGCCAGCAGGTCCTGGTCGCCCCTGTGTGGAACAAATGCGTTGACCAGATCTCACAGACACCAGAGATCAGGCTAATCTCTGACTCCAAGCCCAGGGATCCACACTGACCTGCTCTCCTCTCTCACCGGGGGCACCAGGAGCGCCAGGAGCCCCCACCACACTCTCTCCAGGGGGGCCTCTCTCACCCTGTTTACACAAGGACCAAGTAGGCAGGGTCAGTGACAGTGACAGAACCCAGGCAATGGAGGAGCATAGTTTCAGAGATTGGAACATGGAGATCGGCGCACAGGTTGTAGGTTCATGATTCAGAGAGGCAGGGGTATAGCTCAGCAATACAGCACTCGCCTCAACCCCAGCACTCGGGAGGCAGAGGCAGGCGGATCTCTGTGAGTTCAAGGCCAGCCTGGTCTACAGAGTGAGTTCCAGGTCAGCCAGGGCTACACAGAGAAACCCTGTCTTGGAAACAAAAATAAAACAACAGAAAAGAATGAGGCACATACATGGTGCATAGGCGTATGTTCAGGCAAGACATGCATACACACTGTAAAAAATGTATAAACAAAACCGTCAGCATGGTGGCTCATGTCTTTAATCCTAGCACCTGAGAGGCAGAGGCAAGCAGAGTTCTGAATTTGAGGCTAGCCTGGTCTACATGTAGAGCTTCAAGCCATCCAGGGCTACACAGTGAGATTCTGTCTAAAACAAACAAAAACAAGGACAAAAGCAGGGAGGGAGGGTCGATGATCAGGGCTCACAGCTGGGGACCCTTACCTTCTGACCCTGAAGTCCTTCAGGGCCTTTGGGACCAACACCACCAGGTGGCCCTGGGGGACCACTAGAGCCATCATTCCCTCTGGGACCTGGGAAGCCCCCAACTCCTGGGGGCCCCTGTAGATAGAAGAGGGTTATGACTAAAATCTCTTCAAGATGAAACCACTTCCAAAGACAATTCTCCCTTCAGATCACAAATCCGACCTCAACTTACCCGCTCCCCTTTCTCGCCTTGGTCACCCTTGGGTCCTGACTGCCCATCAAAGCCTCTGTCACCCTGGAAACAGAAGAAGCAGGAAATGTACTCAGTCCCGACACCCTCTGCTCTTGTATATCCTTGAGTTTATGTGTCCCTGGACCAATGCCCTCCACAGTGTATGATCCAAGCGTCTGTTACTGTCCGGGCTGTGATACCAGGACACCAACCCCACTCAAGCCCCGCCCTGGTACAACATGACCCCCCCCCCCCCCACACCTTCTACCCTTTCATCCTCTCTGCTGTGACCCAGCCTCTTCTGAAATCTCAAAACAGCCACAGGTGATCCTCCAACACCACATCTTCCTCGACCCTATCGTCCTAGCTGACTCCACCGCCCACCATCACGTGATTATCAAAAGCCCTGTACCTTGGGACCAATCAGGCCCTCTTTGCCAGGAGACCCGGACTGACCCGGCATACCAGGCTCCCCCCTAGAGGAAGGAAAATAAGAGGTTGACTCTCTAGCCAACTGCACCTCTTCATTCAGGGTGTACCCGACCCCGACACTCACTGCGTCTCCTTTGCGTCCTGCCAACCCAGGGCGGCCGGGAAAACCAGCTTCTCCCTGGAGGTATCCCGCAGAGGAGTAAGCTTTGGGCCACAGACCCCATAGCCCCCACAGCCCCCACATCAGCCCCCACAACAGCCCCCAGCCCCCCACATCTCTTCATAGATCTATACCTTATCCCCTTTTTCTCCATCAAGGCCACAGGCTCCCTTCATTCCTCTTTCACCCTAAAGAAGGAAAGCAGATGAGAAAGCAAATCTGTAATCCCAGTACTTGGGAGATAGAGAGTCAGGAGTTCAAGTCCAGGCTTGGCTAGATAGCAAGTTCCAAGCTAGCCTGGGATACGTGAGAACTTGGGTTCAAAATAAAAAAAAAGTCACTTCTACCTCACCTTGGATCTTTGACCTTAAAAGCACCTCTCACTGCTGGTTTCAGGCATTCCAAGCCTGAGCTAACACTCTGTGTAACCTGAGCCCCAAATCTGATCCCAGATCCCTTATTCTCCAACACCAGACCATGTTGGCCAGAAAAGCAAAAGATTCTTTCTCACCTTGAGGCCCCGGGGACCCATGAAGCCAATATCTCCTTTGTCTCCTCGGAAACCTGGGGCTCCATCCTTTCCTGGGGTTCCCTGGAGAGTAAGGGTGTTGACATGGATCAAGAAAGGACCCTAGACTGAAGGAAGGGAACCCCCGTCACCACCCATTGCCATGGGAACAGGGTCAGTATGGGCTGGGGTCACCATCATAGAGTTCATGGTAGAGGTAGGAGCTTCTGGGAAAAGGAAGGCCATAAAAAATTAGGTCCCTAAGAGGTCAAAGGCTTCATGGGCAGGGCCATCATGGGAATGGGCGCTTGTGAGGACAGGGGTCCTCCATGGGATTGGGGGCATCTTACC